GAATTGAAAGGATTCTTTGAAGCTGATCAGGAACATTCCAACAAAAATTACTTCTCGATTCGATTTATGTGAAAGTTTGAAAAGTGACCCCGTCGACGACAACGATTGGAAAATGATTGAGAATGTGAAGACGAAATTAAACGTTGCCAAGATAGCGAGAGATTTTTCTAACACTAGGCGGCGAAATTTTGCCAAATTGATTACAAAGTGGTCAAGCCTGAAAAAGAAAGGAGAGCTAGAAGGGCTTCATGGGAAAAGGAAGTGATTGGATGGAGGAGATCGCTACCTAAATTCGGCTGATGTCGAGGAAGCATTTGCAGCTTAGGTGCGGAAACAACTGGCTGAAAAGAAAAGGGTCAGTCGTCAGATACTCTTCAACGAAGTGGCTAAGAAAGTCGATGTACCTTTCACTAGAAGTAACGGCTGGATGGAAAGGTTTTTGGATCGGCACAATTCGCCTCGCGTTTCTACAACTTTCCAGAAGCTAGAAGGCAGAGTTTGGAAATAATTTCCTCAATCTTGGACGAAAGCTGACGAAAGCTGACGAAAGCGAAAGAATTACAAATATGTGTTCGCGATCGACAAGATCGCCGTTTGGCTCGATCATTGATTGAACAAGTGCATGGATGTAAAAGAGCTCTTGTAGTTGAAGTGCTTGAGCTCAGACAAGAGGCTGAATACAATTCTGATACATTGATTGTTTAAAATGCTGTTTTTCTTACATAAATGATTTCATAAAAGTGACTTATGATAACGATTAATATCAAATATTCTCTAAAATCCACAAAACACAAAAGTAAATCCAAATCCGTAAAACAAATTGATTTGCCCATTTCTGTATAAACAATAAAATGATGTTTGCAAAATTTAAAAGTGTTGCATGATCGCCAGTGAGTTTCCGAGTGCTCGAGGCTGTGGTGACTTGCTTCTCTGATCTTCTCTGATCGTTTTCCCTTCCAACTTTCCCGTGCGATCCCTCGTTAAGCCGATTGCCGCAAAGACTCTCCACAAACAGTCTCCCCATTCAACTCTTGCAAGGGGAACTCATCGTGGTCAATCTTTAGCTTTTTCTTCCACTTTCCCCTATTTAAGCTTCACTCCCTCACCTCGACTAATGCCTTCAATTTAGCACGATTTTTGAGAACGCTTTTTGGTTAGGTGTTTACAAAATTATGGTATTTCGATGAAAGAAATTTAGAAAATATCTTGAATCTTGATTTTTTTTGAATCCATTTTACAAGCAACGATTCGAAATGAGCCATTTAATGAGATTATAAATGGAGGCTATGGTTATAGCAGTCTAATGTCTTCATAAAGGGGTTTTTTTATCCACATCATTGCTTTCGTGGTTGTTCTAATCAGTGTTCTAATCTAAATTATGGTATTTCGATGAAAGAAATTTGGAAAACATCTTGAATCTTGAATTTTTTGAATCCATTTTACAAGCAACGATTCGAAACGAGCCTAATAATGAGCTTATAAATGGAGGATATGGTTATGGCGGCCTAATGTCTCCATAAAGGGCTTTCTTGTCCACATCATTGCTTTCGTGGTTGTTCTAATCAGTGAGACGGGTCGTAAAGAAATGAAAGGAAAGAAATGAAGAGAAAGGAACACCATCTGGACATCTAAAGAAAGAAAAGAAGGGTTGAATGGAAGGGATCAGTGTCCTTTTCCTCTCCACAAATGCGACTATCCAATTTGCATTGAATTGAGGGATGATATGAGTGACATTGTCTTTCATTTAAACTCACTTATTCAAACTTTTTATCAGTTAAAGTTAAATTAAAATAGAAAAGAAAAGAAAACGGATTCCGATCGACAATATCTTTTCAACAAAAACAAAAACAAAAACAACAAAACAAATATATTAGGTTGGCCGGAAAGTTCTTTCCTTTTTTTGACGCTAGATCTAACTTTTTATTTTACGCATCAAAAACGCCAAATAAAAAAAAAACAGAAAAACATCAATAACATCCTGCCACTTATCCGGCAACAAATCGATTCCGCGGCGGTAAAACTCACGTGGCTTCGAATCGAAAAACTGAGTGAATGACAAGCGCATTTCCTCGACGTTTTGAAAGATCTTTCCACGCAAATGATGCTCCAGAGACCTGAAAAAATGATAATCGGACGATTCTGGACAAAATACCTGAACAGATGATAGTCCGATGGTGCGCTTGTCACTCACTCAGTTTTTCGATTCAAAGTCACGTGAGTTTTACCGCCGCGGAATCTATTTGTTGCCGGATAAGTGGCAGGATGTTATTGATGTTTTTCTGTTTTTTTTTTTATTTGGCGTTTTTGATGCGTAAAATAAAAAGTTAGATCTAGCGTCAAAAAAAGGAAAGAACTTTCCGGCCAACCTAATATCTTTTCAACAAAAACAATCGTTTTCTTCTTCAATTTTCCGAATTTTAATCATTTTTTTACTTTTCAATCGATTTTTTTGATTTCGGTGTTCGATTTGGTTTATCAATTTTGATTTAAGTTTGATTCATCAATTTTGATTCATCGATGATTCAATTTTTGATCGACTTTTAAAGAAAACTTGAGAAACATTTGTATAGTATAATAAAACAATTGTAAAGCTCTTTCTTAAATTAAATAAATCAAGCATTTAGCTAAGATTTGTTAGTTATTTTGACAAAACTAACAATTAATGTTACCCTTCAATAGTTTAAATTTTAGGTTTTAAAATTTAAAACCAAACCAAACCAAATTTCTACTTGAAATAGATATGATTTCAAATCTTTAGATCTTTTCGGTACTTTTTCATTGTGTATACCGTATTCTCTCTAATAGAGGTGCACTCTTTAATAGTAGTGCACTCTCTAATAGTATTGCGGTCCAGGAGGGGGTTCAAAAAATAGTAGTGCACCCCCGGAAAATTTGAATTTCTGTTTGCTTCTTTTTCATCTAAACCTTTATGTTTATGTGACATTCTAAAGCTATTCAAGCAAGCAAAAGTGAGGCTTTTTTTTTATTCATTTATTAACTATTCTTCACATGAAAAAGTTAGCAAAAAATCTAAAATTGTTATGCAAAGTGCAAAAACATCTTTTTGTTGTTTGTCAAGACACAAATTGTCAGCACAAATTGTCAACTCGCCGGCCCACAACTGTAAGTCAAAAGGAGTCAAAGGAGCCAAAGGAGTACGTGAAAGAATTGCAAGAATTTTTGGAACAAATCTTATATCTGTCTTACTTTGGTAAATGGTAAAACTCTCTAATAGTATTGCGGTCCAGAAGGGGGTTCAAAAAATAGTAGTGCGCGCTACTATTAGAGAGAATACGGTAATCGTATTGAACAATTGAATTGTATTAAACTAATTGTATTCAATAATAAAACTCTTTTCAATTAAGGAAACAAAATTTGAATTTTAACAAATAATCATTTCTAATTGGTTAAATCTAGCCTCAAATCTAGCCGTTTATATGAAGAATTTGAATTCTTTTACTAAATTTTAATAAAGTTACATTTATAATCCTTTCTTAGAAAGAGAAAAGGAATTACTGAATTTTCTCTAAGAGTAGTGCACCCCGGCGAGCCGAGTTGGTGAGTATTTGACGGTTTCCAAGCTTTTGCAAAAGCTCAACACTCAAATCCCCCACAAGATCTCATCGTTAACTACATTTTCCTTTCCGACCTCGCATCGAAAGGTTCTGATAAGCGCATTTCGAGATTTCAAGGAATTTAGGCAACGCTCACGGTGCACTACCATTTCCTCTAATAGTAGTGCACCTCGCCGAGTCGAGTTGATCACTATTCTCCGGTTTCCAAGCTTTTGCACAAGCTCAACACTCTAATTCTCCACTAGATCTCATCGTGAGCTACATTTTCCGACCCCACATCGATAGGTTCTGATAAGCGGTTCTCGAGATTTCGAGGAATTTAGGCAAAGCTCAGGGTGCACTACTATTAGAGAGAATACGGTATATAATTTCTATTTAACTTTCTCTAATAGTAGTGCACTTTGGCGAGCCGAGTTGGTGACGATTTTACGGTTTCCAAGCTTTTGCAGAAGCTCAACACTCTAATTCTCCACTAGATCTCATCGTGAGCTATATTTTCCGACCCCACATCGATAGGTTCTGATAAGCGGCTTTCGAGATTTCGAGGAATTTAGACGACGATCTGGATGCACTACTATTAGAGAAAATACGGTAAAGCAAATTAATCACAAATTTTAAAATTCAAATTTTCTTTTCATTTAATTGACTTGTTAAACACCTTTTTCTTTATATAATTCAAAAATCACCAATAATTACTTGAAGTTTTAGACTAAACTCTTACTTTTTTTCTTTTAACTTTTTCAAGAGAGTTCATTTCCCGTGACCCATTGAAAGAAAAATGGGGAATGGTTTTTTTGGAGTGAAAAGCTAAAATGGAATTGCTTTTAGAAAGGGGCATTTTCCAATCTTTAGCCTTAACAAAAGAGAGCGAGCAAAACGAAGAATCGCTTTGAAATTCATTAGGACTAGGAGGAGGTCCACAAGTCGCCCCATTAGGTTCACCCATTTGGGGTCCCAATTTTGGAGGCCCACTTAAACTGCCCCTACTTCTCTGGAATACAACTCTTGGGGATTGAAAGGTTAAAGGAAATTAAGGATTTAAAAAATGTTTTAAACAAGATGATGGCTTTGAAAGGATCATTGTCAGATCAGCTATCAGATATGAACCGATCTCTGCAAAGTTTTAAGGCAAAAAAAAAAAACGTGTGAACGTTGTTTCTCTTTAACTATAGCACTTCTAATAATAGATTTTTGAAAGTTTATTATAGTAAGCAGTTATATAATTGTATTTATTGCCTAATCTCTGAGTGCCTAAGGGTTTAAGCACTTAAACACTTAGATCTTAATGTTTCACTAATTTCAAGCTTACCGTATTCAATATTTCTTTACTTAACTAATCCCATTGAAATCCTGTGTGCTTGAAGGAAATCTGTTACCATAGAAACACTAAGGCCAAGAATTTCAAAAGGATATTTTCATAATTTTATGTCAGACGATCGAGAGCTAACTCTTCGACCAAGTGCCCAGAAAAAGTTTGTTTTTACAAAAATTTCGAAAACCTTCACACTATCAGATTTCGCTCTGCAATTGGGAAAGCGATTTTGGAAGAAGTGCTGAAGAATGGATTGCCTGAAGAGCCGTTTGAAGCTGAGAATAGTAAAAAATTGAGCAAATCGTTGGCAGAGGAGGCGAGGGAACGATTGAAAGGTTCAAGAATCTCTTTTAATACTATTTTAATCCATAAAAATGGTTTAGGATTGGAACTGCCCAACTACAAATACGTTGTGCAAGTTGTGATTTGTGAGAATCGGGGGCAAGGAGCTCAGTGAGTGGTTTCGATTTTTGGCTTTGGCTTTAGCTTGGCTTTAGCTTGGCTTTAGCTTGGCTTTAGCTTGGCTTTAGCTTGGCTTTAGCTTGGCTTTAGCTTGGCTTTAGCTTGGCTTTAGCTTTTCAGCAAGTCCAGTAATTTCAGCGTCTCGGCTCAATGTACTTGGGACACAGACACTGATGGTCAAGCCAACTACTACCATGCTAATGTGAGTATACTTGCTAATGTATTAAAGTACTTTTAAATCAAATGCATTAAGCTTTCAAAAATCGTTCCTCTTTTCAGAAGTACATTTGGTGTCAAGCAACAATCTACGCCCTCTTTTACTATTGAAATCTTCATTTGTACATATTTGAAATGCTTTAAATACATATTTGATTATTTATTTGATATGAAAGATGACAAGAATATAGTTTTTTGAAATCACAGCACAGCTGATATGAAAATCATGAAAGATCACTCGTAAAATTTTCTTGTTTGGAATCGGATACGAAAGTTTGAGATCAAAAGAAGACAAAAACTAGAAGAATTCTATGAAAAAACCCGTTAAAATCATAGATTTAGATTGAGATTTGTTATGTTTGAGCATTAGAGATAAGAGGAGCTATATCATCGGGTACATCCACTTCAAAACAAAGAGAATCCAATTGGGATTGTTCGATACGAGGACGAGCCAATGGGGCCTGGAATGGAAAAAAATTTCAACAGAAATGTTCACAAATTCTATTAAGCTTTTTATAAATTAAATATTCTTGACTCGTTTTTATTTGATTAATGGCATTTAGTTGTTAGAATTCGATTCTTAAACTTCTTAAACCGATCTTCTCTTCAAACTTCTTAAACCGATCTTCTCAAACTTAGCTAGCTTTTAAATTAAAAGTAAACCGTAGATTTAAAAAAATCAAAGATAACATTTGTACTTAATGATGTATAGTTATTGTTAGATGGTTAGATAGTTAGATGGTTAGATGGTTAGATGGTTAGCTGGTTAGCTGGTTAGATAATTAGCTGGTTAGATAGTTCGATAGTTAGATAGTTAGCTGGTTAGATAGTTAGATGGTTAGCTGGTTAAATGCTTACTGTCTTTACAGCTTATTCAAAACTAAAACAAGTGTCCAACGAATCAAACTTTTTCCAAAAAAGCTTTCCATCAAAAGTACGGGTGCTTTGCAAAAAATGAAATACTAAAGACTACGCGACTACGCGACTGTTCGAGGCGGGTTGGGTACTATTAAAGTATTTACGGTATGTAGATTGAAATCTATAGCTTATTTTAACTTTCAAGTAGTTGTTTTTTCTTATCTTTTTTTGCAACCCACTTGTAAACACGGCTCCAACATCGCATCCTCAGCTGAAATTCGTTTTTCCGGGTCTAGTTCCCAGCATTTTTCCATCAATTCATAGATCTAAAAAGGTTTTATGTATTTAATTTGTTAAAATGAACATTAAAAACTAACCTCATCAGGACACTTTTGAGGTTTTGCTGGCTTCACCCCGCTCAACCCTAACGCGACCACTTCATTATTGCTGAGATCAGAGAATGGAGTTTCTCCATACGTGAAAATCTCCCACATCGTTATACCAAGTGCCCTGAATGAGTTGTGTGACACAATTTTGTTAAATAACTAAATTCTTTTAATTTAACTAATTTCCCCTTACCAGATGTCAGATTGATGACTGAAACGGCAGCTGTTTAGACTTTCTGGAGGCAGCCATCTGAAAAAGAAACACTTTTTTAAGAGATAACTTTAGTTAATATTGTTTTTTATTAAAGTTTTCTTGTTTTATAACTCACCTAACAGGGAGTAAAGATCCTGAAGTCTGCATTTTATAGTATTCACTTTGAGAGTAAAGTCGTCTTGACATTCCAAAGTCTGAGATCTAAAACTAGCCGTGACTGAGACATCTAAATGGTTTATCAGTTTTGAATCTTTAATTAGTAATTCAGTATATTGATTGATTTGATTCATTTATTTGTTTAGAGTTCAATTATTTGCTTAGATTTCATTGATTTGTTTAAAGTTCATTGATTGATTTGATTCATTCATTTGTTTAGAGTTTATTGATTTGCTTAGAGTTCATTGATTTGTTTAGAGTTCATTGATTTGCTTAGAGTTTATTGATTTGTTTAGAGTTTATTGATTTGTTTAGAGTTTATTGATTTGTTTAGAGTTCATTGATTTGCTTAGAGTTTATTGATTTGCTTAGAGTTTATTGATTTGCTTAGAGTTTATTGATTTGTTTAAAGTTTATTGATTTGTTTAGAGTTACTTTAACACAAGACGGTGGTCGATTCGCTGGAATGCAAATCCTTGAATCATCCTCTCCAGAGACTAAACAATTTCTCGCCGCCAAATCTCTGTGCACAATTTGTTGAGAGTTTAAATAGCATAGTCCTTGAATAATCTGAAAAATTTGTATAGAATTTCGCGGAATTTTTTAAAACTTACTTCTCTAATGATGAATAGCAGCTCTTTCAATTCAAGGGGTGGCGGGAATTGGCTATAGTTTGATGGATGAGGTTTTCGTTGGCGTAAGTAGTTCTTTAAGTCACCTAGAAGACGGAATTCGTTATTTTGTTACAAGTCACTTATTCAGTTTACCTAGATTCATCATCTCTAAAATCAAGAGCATTCGATTTCCATCTCTCGTCATTCCAAAGAGACGAACGATGTTTGGATGATCTAGTTTTGAAAGTACCTAAAGATTTCAAGTGCTATTATTATTATTAAGCATTAATATTATTATTATTCGATTATTAGATGACTTTTTGAGCATTAAAACACAGCAACAAGGCTAAGAAAAGAGCTAAAAAAGTTTTACAGCTTTTTTTAGCTACAATTTTTAGTTCTTAGTAGATTTAGTTATTAGTTATTAAGCAATCAAGAAGATTTTTTAAAGTTTATAACAATAAACCAACTGAAAAAACCCCGTAACGGCTTTTGTTGCAATGAATAACGCGCCGATCTATCGCCCATATGATCCGGGTTCGACAGACAAACAGACAGACAGACAGGCAGGCAGACAGACAGACATCTGAGTCCCTTTATATATAGTAGATGCTTTGAACCTGCGCCTCTTTCTCAGTCTCATTGTCTGCTTGATGAATTGTCTTCACAGCAACTTCTCGATCATTTGATGACGTCCAAACACCACGATACACTTCACCAAAAGCACCCTAGAGATTGCTAATTTTCTCTTTCAATTTCTCTTTGCTTACCTGCCCAATTTTCTCTTTTATCTGAACATTGCCGAGACTGATGACAGGGATGAGATGACCAGTGTAATCGCTGAAATATTTCTGTTTTCTTTAGACTGATTTACTTTAACCTGACGCAAAGACTTCCTCTTTCCTCCATTCGGAGAGTCGTCTCCTCGGTGGCTTCTGTAGCTCTTGATGTTCTCCGAAAGCGTTGCGAGAAATCTTGCATTTTCGACTTAAAAAAAAACTCTCATAGATACACTTTTCAATCAAAATTACTTTCAATTTCATTTCAAGAACTCCAAAAATGTGTGATGGTGAAGGGTTCTTGAAACTGGTAGTGAGAATTTGCTCATACTTTATGCATCATTGGAAAGCGTACGGGTTTACTTAGAGATCATTTGGTTTGAGGTTGAATGATAAGCAAAAACAATCGATAATGTCAATTTGATGATGATTTCGTGGAGTAGAGTAGGAGTTTAAAAAAAAAAAAACTTACTCTTATTCTGATCTTTCCATCGCCCGGCTTTTTTCCATTGGAGATTCTCAAGAATCGCATTAGTTTCGACTAAAATCATTTTTTATCATTTCTATCATTAGTTTTCTTTTATAATACCAAAGTCGAGTTTTTCATGTAAACACAGAAAGCGCAAAGAACGAGAAATGGGGTGATGATTAAGAAAGGCCATAGAGAGATCGTGGTTGATGGTTTTGGTTGGATTCGAGTGGGTGGTAGCTGAATAAAAGTTACTCTATAAATTCTAAAAGCTTAAAAACCATTGGTTGATGATGAGTGGCAAGGTGAATCGTTTTCTCTGCACAGGAAACATTTGTGCAAACACGGAGCGAGAAGTTACCTCTTAAATAGTTGATTTTTTTTTTTAATTTTATTCAGATTTTTGAAGTAAAACCTTGGCAAATCATGCTCACAAGTGCTGCATTGACGAGCGTAGAGAGTGTATTCTTTCATGTAGTAAAATGAGTGACTAAATTTGAAGATTGATGGGACGAAGTGAGGTCAAGTGAATCCTCTAAGTCAAGAATATTTGAATTCAACAAATTCCTCATAAATTCTAGGTATTTCTCTGTAAATCTTTGATTAAAATCAATAATAACAGTGATTACTTTGTGATAAAAAAAAAGGCTTTTTCAAACTTTACATATGTTTTAGATAAAGTGACTCATTTCGGAAGTTGATCATTTCATCACCGAGCTCATGTTGCTCATCAATCCAAAAAGAATCATTCTAAAAATCAATTTCAAAATCTTTTATTTATCAACAATTTCTCTTCACTTTTTTTTTTGTTATTTCTTTGCTTCATTTGCTTTTTCATTTTTTCAATCTTCAATTTACTTTTTTCAAAAAGTCGAACTTGTAAGCTTAAATGATGTTACCGTAATCCTTTAATCTTGTCCATTATTTCCCCATTGTTCCCCAATTTTCTTATTATTTCACAGAGTGAACTGTTAGAAGGAAAATGGAAATGCGATAATTTTATAAGAGAGTTGCCTGGGGTGACCTGATTGAAAGGAGAGATGGAGAGAAAGAGGAGAGGATCACCTGATGCACAAATTCTGTGACAATCACACGGTTGATCTCTCCAAAAATGGTGTGACAAATCAAAGTAAAAGGTACTTATTATATTAATAGACTTCTAGTTCTAGATAGATTGATAGGCTTGCTATCAGTGGAGCAATCAATCAGCAATCATTTCTACTACATGGAATTTAATAGGCCAGAGTTTTAAGCAACAGTTTTAATATGTTTTAAGCAACTTTAAGCTACTCTATGCATAGAATTACAAACTCTCCTTATAGAAAAGTTCTATCTTTATCCCCAACAAAAGTACGATCTTGTCAGTTCAAGAAATTCAGTCTGATATCCTGAACTTGATTTGGTACGAGATTCAAACTTGAAAAATATTCAAATCCCTTTCTAAATATAGTAAATCCGCTTCGTTGTAAGCTTTTCCTATCAACCTTCTCAAAAACAAGTTACTTAAACAGCTTACATCCACACTGAATCGATTTCTTTAACTAAAAATCACTTTGTTTCGAAAAGATAATTACAACTTCTCCTTATAGAAAAGTTCAATCTTTATCCCCATCTTGTTATATTATCAAAATTTTAAAGCGAAGAAATTAGCGTAAAAATTGGCATAAACTCAAGAGTTTTCTTCTAAAGTTGAGTTCCAAAATTTCTTTTCTCTCAACTTTTCTTGTTATTCTAAAAGCTTTTGATTAATCAAAGGGGAAAACAATGATTAAGTTTCTTATTTTTATAGAATACATGGGAAAATGGAGGAAATGGAGGAAATGGAGGAGAGATTTGTTGTGGGTGTGAGAGAATGGCTTGATTGGGGTGGGGGGAAAGCAAGTCTGGATGTCGGAACAATTATATATGCTTTCGAAATACAAAAGCATATATAATTGTTGTTTCAATTTAAAAGTTGATAAGGTGATTTTTATAGAAATTGATTAGAGCTACAGTGGAAATGTTCCAACCAGTGACTAGAGGCTGAATCAACTGCCAGATCACGATCAGATCATGCCAGGCAAAGAAAACCTTCCCTGAAACAACCCTAGCAATGAGAGCTTACAAACTTTAAAGCTTACAAACTTTAAACTCCTTAGGTAATTGTTCCGTGGCAATCCAATTCTCAAGTTTTTGCTTGGTCATGATTTGCTTGGTCATGGCTTGCTTGGTTATGGCTTGCTTGGCCATGGTTTGCTTGGTCATGGCTTGCTTGGTTATGGCTTGCTTGGCCATGGTTTGCTTGGTTATGGCTTGCTTGGTCATGGCTTGCTTGGTCATGGCTTGCTTGGTCATGGCTTGCTTGGTCATGGCTTGCTTGGTCATGGCTTGCTTGGTTATGGCTTGCTTGGCCATGGTTTGCTTGGTCATCGTTTGCTTGGTCATATTCTTTTTGAATCAACTTTGTTTAAGTCTAATGAACTTTCAAATGAATACCAATACTATCAAATTTTCCATTTCTATTTTGCACAAACCGATACGAGCGTGATTGTCAACTCATTCAACGGCCATCCATGCACAAAAATATTGTGCTGATCTCGATGTAAAGTATCTTCCAAAGTCAACAATGTCACATTCACTCTCACGCGGATCTAAAAGCTGATAATATTTACATTCAATTTTCTTATTCATCTACTTTAAAGTTTAAATCGATTTCTTCATTTATTAATGGATTTGTGTGGATAGAGAGAGGGGATTTTCTTAAAAGATTTTCATTTTGAATGCATGTAAGAAATGGTGGGATATCCAGGGCGTTTCTTTTCAGATTTCATCGAGAGAAAAGGAGGAGGAGCGGAGACACCAGGAAAGGCATCATATGGAGCCCCGCTAACGATCGCTCTTTCTTTGGATAAATTATAAATTATACGATAAATATGGAAAGATTTTGAAGTATAATATTAAATAATATTATATTTATTATCAGCTGAAAAAACTGGGGTTTTGGGGCTAACGCTAGCATAGTTTGATCTAGAATAGTTTGATCTAGAATAGTTTGGTCTAGAATAGTTTGATCTAGCATAGCTTGATCTAGCATAGTTTGATCTAGCATAGTTTGATCTAGCATAGTTTGATCTGGAATAGTTTGATCTAGAATAGTTTGATCTAGAATAGTTTGGTCTAGAATAGTTTGATCTAGCATAGTTTGATCTCTCAAGTTAAAAGGCCCCATCCCATCAATTTGTACAATTCTTGCTCACTTCAATGAGTGATGAACAAACTTTGGAGAACTTGTTGATGAAATTGTGAAAATTCTCATAGAGACAACAAAATGCGAGCTTAAATAGGCTTGAGCTACAGTATGCTCCGTTTTGTCTGACTTTAGCTTGCACTTAAAACGGTTTTCTTAAAAGATTTTCATTTTGAATGCATGTAAGAAATGGTGGGAATATCCAGGGCGTTTCTTTTCAGATTTCATCTATTAAAGTAAGGAAAGATGTCGAGTAAAGAAAGATCTTCAAGTATTTGAGAATTTCGGGTACATTTAAGAATGATCAAGTGCTAATTGAGAGTACAGATTGAAGCCTGGAAGCTGGCTTTAGAGGCTTTAGATCTAGATTCAAAAAAAGCATGTATTATTCTTAAATTTTCTAATAAAAAGTACTGTAAGATTGGTAAAATATCTAAGATATTTTTATTTTTTTAAAAGATTTCAAATGAACTTTTAATCTTGTACTCTGTACATTCATGGATTTGTATCCATTTTAAAACTGTAGTCAATGTGAAAGAAATTCCTCAGATTTTCAATGATTTGAATCATGATTCAATGATTCAATGGTGCATAAAGCTCCATAAAGCTTTAAATTCTTTGATTAGATTAGATTTTTCAATCTAATCAGTTCAATTTTGGTAAGAGACCATTTGTATATTCCAAATTTTGACGCTCATTTATTTTTTGAATTGATTTCTCGGGAGTGGGACAAATGCGACCTTTTTTTCCGCACTTAGCCCATTAGCGCACCTTTTTTCGCGTTTTAAAAAAGCTCTAAAAAGCTAATATTAACCAATTTCTATGCCAAAAGTTGTTTTTCTAGGTAATTTTAGGGCGTAGAATCGAAATTTTGGTATATCAGAGCTTGTGGAAGCGAAGGGACGGAGTTATTGGTATATCAGAGCTTGTGGAAGCGAATGGACGGAGTTATTGGTATATCAGAGCTTGTGGAAGCGAATGGACGGAGTTATTGGTATATCAGAGCTTGTGGAAGCGAATGGACGGAGTTATTGGTATATCAGAGCTTGTGGAAGCGAAGGGACGGAGTTATTGGTATATCAGAGCTTGTGGAAGCGAACGGATCGAGTTATACAAAGAGAAAAATCAACAATTTTCTGTAATTTGACCTAGCCGTTTTTTCTTTCAAATTGGTTCCACACGCTCTGTTATGTCAAAATTTTGAATTCGATACCCTCAAATTACCTAGAAAAACAAAACAACTTTTGGAATAGAAATTGGTTAATATTAGCTTTTAGAGCTTTTTTAAAACGCGAAAAAACGTGCGCTAATGGGCTAAGTGCGGAAAAAAAGGTACGCAAATGTCCGAGTGCGCAAAAAAAGGTCGCATTTGTCCCACTCCCGATTTCTCTCTTTAACTAATCACATTACTGCTTTCTTTCAACTTGGCTCGTTAATTTGTTTTCTTTTTTTTTCTTTTCCACTTTCGCCTCAAATATCCATTTCATATTGGCATCAAAAAGCCGAATAAGAAAAAGAAAATTCAATAAAATGGGGAGAAAAAGTGGGGGGGAAATGGAATAAATAGAATAAACTGTTGTTGAGATGTATCGGGAAACTATTTTATGTAAAAAAAAAACTACATTGACAACCATGCTTTTCAACAAATTTTTAATTAAAAAGTCAATTGACTAAGATAATGTTTTAAACGTTTTTTAAAGGGTTTTAAAGGGTTTTTACAGGGTTTTAAAGGCGTTTTTAAAAAGTTTTAAAAGCTTTTGCTAATGTGTTCACTATTTTCGTCTATTGTATAACCAAAAAAAAGGTTCTAATCTAAATACTGAAAATATAGAAGAAATTTTCGTTAATCAAAATCTTTTGCCCGACTCTAATCCACATAAAAATTTGATGGGAAAGATTTCTTGATCGAAAAGAGTTTTTTTTTTGATTGAAAATAGTCACCCATATTTGTTTATTGAGAGTAAATCCCTTGAGAGAACGAAAAAATATTAGAATTCTTTGCCCAAAAACAAGGATTTTTAAAAAAAATATGATTTTGCTTTCATTTAAGTCATTCCCATCATTGCTGAGTGGCACGATCGCATTTCCAAACTCATCAAAAGCAAAAGTTCCCTCATCGAAAGTGTCTATTTTTTTACTCGAGTAATAGATCGAGTAATTGTCGAGTGATGCGCTAGCAAATGTTAGCCCTTGAAATCTAGTATTTTTTGGTACCAAAAGTGTAATTGAGAGAAAAAGACGAAGAAGACTAAAAAGAAGACGCGACTGGTCGACCATATCCACAGTAGTTGTCTAAAAAGTGCGCCTGCGCGAAAAAAAAAAATATAAAAGCAATTTTTGCGCCGGTTTTTCGGGAGTGAAATGATGTTTTTTTTTGACTGAAATGAAAGCCTTGAGAAGTTTTTCTTTTTGATTGAAAATAGTCACCCATATTTGTTTATTGAGAGTAAATCCCTTGAGAGAACGAAAAAAATATTAGAATTCTTTGCCCAAAAACAAGGATTTTTTTAAAAAATATGATTTTCTGAATGAATGATTTGTAATCAGAGCTTAGAAGAGTTCAATTTTTGAAGCACTTATGGTAATTAAGAAGAAAAGAACTGAAAAAGTGAAATCACAAAAAAATTGATTGCAGGTTTGGAGTAGAATAATTAGTGAATGGATACGGTAAAGACTGGGATAGTCATTTGGGATTTGTGCTATATTTTAGGTATGTTTCTCCCAGGATTGCAATTCTTGCTCTACACTAAATGAATTGGAAAACGAGGCAAGTCAAAAAGGGCCCTGTTGGCGCACGTGTTAACTCATCTAACTCACATCTTTAAACCAGCCAAAAAGCCGATTTTTCTGGCGTATTAAGGTGTACGGTAATTTAAGATTAATAAAAGTGCTGAAAAGAGTGGTTTGAATCTTTTCATGGTTCAGTTAGCTCCGTATGCCGTAGTAAATTCATCTAACTCGCATCTTTAAACCAGCCAAAAAGCCCTCTTAAGGGATTTTTTTCGACCCGCCTTTAGAGGCACCATGGCGCAGTCGGGAGCACAGTGGTCTACAACCCACACGTTCCGGGTTCGATTCCCGGATCATCCACCCACCCGGGTTTTTTCAAAAAATTTTACTTAAATTACAACTAGAGCTATTCTAAGCTTTTTTAAAGAAGTTTTAGCTTGGTGAAAACACGAGAAAATAGCCGTAAAGACAGACAAATGCTGGTGTTTTAGATATAGCAGTGTTGCTTTTAAAAAAATGGAATAAGACGACTAATGTGTTGAATGTAAAGTAAATCAAAGTAAACTATCAACTCACTGTAAGAATTTCGGTCTGCGGCACTCGACACGTCCAACAGGAAAACGCTACTCGTTCCATATGCTCCTTTGTGACGTTCTCGATACGAAATTTCACAATCGATTGCTCTTCGTCGAAAATTTCCTCAAATCGTGGAGTTGTTTGCGACAAATAACGAAAGAATGGATAAGTTTTCAAGTTTTTTTCCCCACTTTTCGGTATTTTCGTCTCAATTTCCAATGTATCTCCTAATTCAAGAATCCTTTCTTTGGGAAAACGAATGATTTCTTGTGAGCATCGTGTAAAATCACAGGTCCAATTCGATGAAATATTTACGACAGGAAGGCCCAATAGGGACTGGGAATGTGAATTTTTCGATTGAACAAGCCATTGATTTTCGCATTCACACGATAGATTTGTTTGTAAATAGAGATTTCTTGTAATTCTCGAGCTGGGCACTGAGAAATCGATCCAATTGAGAACTTTGTGATCACCGGAAAAGTAAATTGTTGTGAGATTTGGGAAAAGTGTCCAATCTAGTGGGCAGGAGAGGTGAATTGTTTGGATGTTTGGTAGAGATGATGTGATGTTTGTCGGGCATTTCGTCAGGTTTAGAGTTGTGATTTGCGTGGGAAGAGTTGACGGGATTTGATCGCAGATGGCTCGGCGTTTCTCGTAAACACAGCCATCCCCGTGAACGCCATCGCCGAAAACGGCCACCGCCAATAGGAATTCGAGAATCACCATTCAACCATTCACTGGAAATTTTGAGTTTTTGCAAAAGTAGAACACTTGATTACGGTTATGTTCAAAGATAAAAAGCAATTCAAAATTCAAAAAAAGCATTCAAAAAGCAAATGTTCATACTATTCTTTTAAAGAAGTTTTAGCTTGGTGAAAACACGAAAAAATCGCTGCAAAGACGGACAAATACTAGTGTTTTAAATATAGCAGTGTTGTGTAAATAAAAATAGAATAAGACGAGTTGAAACTCACATCTTTAAACCAGCCAAAAAGCCCTCTTAACGGATTTTTTTCGATTGGCCGTTAAAGGCACTTCTAATCAAAATTAGAAAATAAGAAAATTATAATATCAATTTTAGTTTTTAAACAAGTATAACCGTATTGTAAACATTAAATCTAATAGAATAAAGAAAAAAAACTGATATAAGATTGGAAAGCTTTTATAATATTGGAAAGCTTTTATAAGATAGGAAAGCTTTTATAATATTGAAAAGCTTTTATAAGATTTCACTTTTCTTACAAAATTCTAATCAATAATCATTTTCCTTTCAAAAATCATAAAAAATTTTCTCTCATTTACGTAAAACAATCAAAAATTTGAATAAATTTATTCAATGTAATCAACGATGGGAATGAAATAACAAAACGGGGGAAAGGAGCGACGATCTGTGTGGATGGAAATGTAAAGAGAGATCACTCGGCTTTCCCTGTCTTCTTTGTCGACTTGTGCGTCTTCAACGAACGGAGAAGCTGAGAAGCACGACGTTGAGCTGGCTGAAAATTGATCGAGAATTATTAGAGAGTTGTGGAGGAGAGGGGGAGACTGACAAGTGGTGGAATGGAGAAGGATTAGAGCAGTTGAGGGAAAGGTGTTAATGAAGGAAGATGCGAAGGGAAAGAAGACGATGGAAGGGAAGAAAGGTGAACAAGTTATGGGGAAAAGAGAAGAAAAGAGGAAATTCAAAGTTAGTGATAGAGGAGAGAAAGGAGAAGATAGAGATCTAAGAGAATCGAGATGGTTAATTGTTGAAAGAGACTGAGAGAAGGGGATCATGGAGGGATCTAGAATTAGAAAGATTGAGAAGATGCTCATAGAGTGGAGGAGTAGATGAGGAGACAGGTGGAGATGGGGGGGCCCGTTGCCCCTCTAGGCCGCTTGCCGTGTGATAATGAGAGCCCCACACCGGGCCGCCTTTTTCTCCTTGCACTCCTTTTCCTCAGCCACGAGACATTATTCTAATTGAAGAGATCCCAGGTTTTTTCTATAGACTACATAACCTTTTCTCGAGGTGACTTTTTTTTTGAGTCAAAAGATAGATAGAGAAAACACAGAGCGATACAGCTTATAGCAGATTAAGCTAGGGAATTGTTGGCATTTTGTCAACAAGCTTAGAGAGTTGTTGGCATTTCTTCAACAAGCTTCTAGAATTGTTAGCATGTCTTCAACAAGCTTATAGAATTGTTGGCATGCCTTTAACAAGCTTCTAGAATTGTTGGCATGTCTTTAACAAGCTTCTAGAATTGTTGGCTTGTCTTCAACAAGCTAGTTGCCTTGTAATAGCATTATGTAATAGACTCTTGTTTACTGAGGATTAGACATGTGAAAATTCAAACCCGAACCTAATTCCATTTTCAATCTTCAGTTTCTCAGCCGTTTCTTGGCCGATTGCTCTGAAATTTTGTCTACAAGCTGAAAATTTGGATTTCTATTTGTAGACAAGATTTCCGAGTAGTCGGCTAAGAAAACAATGATGAAATTAGGTTCGGATTGGAATTTTCCTATGTCTAGTGGGTGCTATGGGATAAGCAAATGTTTAGAATCGACAATAGTGCTACAGAAATTTGTAAAATTCGAAAGAATAATTGTTTCCTGTTTGTAGTAGCTAGAAAGCTTGTAAATGCTTGTTGATGATTTCAATTTGAGTAAGGCTAACTTCGATATAAGAATTCAAAAAAAAACAGGGCTACAGTTATGTTCCAACCAGCTTGTAGCCAGGGTTAGGCCAGGTCGAATCCTGTCTTCTGCCAGGTTTTGTAAGTTAGTTTAATCCAACCAAGCCAGGCTAAGACTTGACTTCTGAAAATTTACAAAAACCCTACTTCTCTGTGATATTGTTGTACTCAAAACACCTGATTTACTACGCCTATCAATACACTAATAGTAAGTACATGTGTTTAGACTATTAATAGTATAGAATTTGAATTAATAAGCTATTTAAAGACTAATCTTTCATAGTTTATTGCTTTTTTATTGCTATTTTTATTATTATTGCTTTCTAAGTACGCTTATTTTTAGCATCCAATTTTAGCTGCTTCATCACTAAAACAAATTGCAAAAACAAAAAAAAAAACAGAGGATTTTCGTTTGAGATTCTGCAAAAAGTAATCTATTGTTTAAAAATAGTGTTCTATAAATTGATTAAAGATCTATTTTTAGAATAAAAGAGAAGAGTAAGGGATAAATATGGGATTAGTGTAGTTGCGTAGATAAAGCTGATCAAATGGAAAAGAGTGTAGGATTGGGCTTTGATTTTTCCTCTAGAAAACTAGCTTTCGCATTTGTAAAACGATTCAGAACGAATTTGAGATAAATGATAGTTAAATCTTTTCAAATATGAAAAAGAAGAAGGCGTACTTTATAAGAAGGCGTACTTTATAAGAAGGCGTACTTTATAAGAAGGCGTACTTTATAAGAAGGCGTACTTTATAAGGCGTACTTTATAAGAAGGCGTACTTTATAAGAAGGCGTACTTTATAAGAAGGCGTACTTTATAAGAAGGCGTACTTTATAAGAAGGCGTACTTTATAAGGCGTACTTTATAAGAAGGCGTACTTTATAAGAAGGCGTACTTTATAAGAAGGCGTACTTTATAAGAAGGCGTACTTTATAAGAAGGCGTACTTTATAAGAAGGCGTACTTTATAAAGCACAAACTTTCTTTCACACTTGTTTACTCGCTCAATTTTACAAATACAAATTTAAACATTAGCTTAAACTTTAAAGAACTAATAATTCGAGATTCTGTTATTTTTATTTTAAAATATACCTGTCCAGCAACACTTTTGTATCCCTTGGCAATGCGAGCGACTTTGCGAAGAGCGGCTCGTGGATTGTTTCCACGAACGGTGGTGGTGTGAACGCTAGATGCTGGCTTCTGCACTTGTTTGCTCTTGGTCGAAATTTTCAACGACTTTCCGTCTCCAGTGATCTAAAAAAAAAGATTGATCTCACAAGGGAATCTCACGAAATCAAGGTGCCCAATCGAAATGAGACCTAGACAATCCGATGCTAAATTTTACGCTGATTGATTGACTCATCTAGAAATTTTGCTAAGGATACCCTTTCCCTTCTATTTCTCTTGCCATTCTTTCTAATAAATTAGAAAAGTTAGAACTAGGGCAGATCAAAACTTGTTCGCTGCCGGGGCTCAAACCCACGACCTTTCGCCTGTTAACCATCACACCACAACGCAATTGATCTCCTTACTCCAGAGGGAGTTAACTTTTCTCCTCTCTGGACGAGACGGTTCCACACGTGTACAGTTAACTCCCACTTGAGATCGGGTGCATTGTGGTGTAATGGTTGCCCGGTGAGCGAAAGGTCGTGGGTCCGAGTCCCTGCGGCATACAGGTTTTGATATGCCCTAGTTCTAACTTTTCTAATTCATTAGAAAGAATGGTATGAAAAGAAATAGGACTTGGGAAAGGGTATCTTTAGCAAAATTTCTAGATGAGTCACTTTGACTGACTCTAGATGAATCAATCAATCAATCAACGTGATCCATGTTCTCAAAATAACAATAAGATGATCGATGTTTATTTTTAAAACAAATAATACCTGAATATCGATGGCTTTATCATTGATAAGTCCATTGAATCGTTGAGAGTTCACCGACATCAAATTGAATCTGAAAAAATGGTATTTTAAGTTTAATATTTTTAGATCGATCTCTCACTTTTCTGTAGAAAATTTCTTTGGGACATTTTTGCGTGTCTTCAAGAAAGACGAGTTGTTGCGGATGATTTGCCAAGCAATATCGGACGACATGATCAAATCGTTAAACTACCTGAAGTTAAATTAAAATATAAATCATTTTCAAGTTAACACTTGAAAATTTAATGGTATATGAATGGAAAAATCAAACAGACGATGAAATCGATAAACTACCGATAAAAATCGATTCTAAGTCAAGAAATCTATCTCAAATCTAGATAAATATTCTACAAATTCAAAACCAAAGATTAAAAATGAAAAATAAATCGATAAACAACCTGATGAAGGCATCAAAAGGCAAGGAAAGGCACAAGGTTCACATTAAGGTCAGAATTTGAATCGTCGAAAGATTCGAATTGATAATTGATGAATTTCATATTCGAGAATTCACTTTACTGTCGATTCTAAGTCAAGAAAACTATCTCATAGATAACAAATCTAGATAAATAGATAGATAACAAAGATAGATATATCAATATAGATAGATAACAAATCTAGATAAATATTCTACAAATTTAAAACCAAAGATTAAAAAGGAAAAATAAATGACATGATGAAAATCGATAAACTAACTGATTCTAAATCAAGAAATCTATCTCAAAATCTAGATAAATATTCTACAAATTTAAAACAAAAGATTAAAAAGGAAAAATAAATCGATAAACTATCTGATCAAGAAATCTATCTCATACAAAAATCTAGATAAATATTCTACAAATACAAATCTAATTAAAAAGGAAAAATAAATGACAATGCATATAACCGTTTGATGAGTTTGATGGCTCAATTTCACATTTAAAAACTAAAAAAATTAACTAAATTAGAAGTTAATTTAATAAAAAGATTCTTAAATTCTTAAAAGTTTTATATGAAATTCATTTTAAACAAAAATTTAGTGAAAAAGTTTTTATTTTTAGGCCAAAAGAAGAAAATGTAAAGAAAGAATTGGCGCATCGTAAAGGTACGGTAAATGGGCGTGAAATAAAAGGGAACATGAGGGAAAGTAGCTTCAATTAGACTTCATTATTGAAACAAACGGAATGCTCATGTTTGATTGTTCAGATCTCGCTTTCTAGAACAGTTATCAATCTGGAAATTGTTTCATTTGAAAGTCAAGAATGTCAGCTTTTGATTGCTTTAAATGGGTAAACACCTCGTAAACCTTATCAATATCGAAAGTATCGATTATCAAGCTCGAAGTTATCGACTATCGATAAGTATTGGTAAGCTTTTTAAGGCAATCACTTATGAGAATTTCCTATGTGTGAGATAGTAATTAAAAGCTGACATTCTTGGCTTTCCAATGAAACAATTTCCAAATTGATAGCTGTTCTAGAAACCGAGATCTGAATGGTTAAACATGAGCATTGCGTTTGTATCAATAATCAAGTCTACTGATGAATCGTGTTCTTAGTTGGGCATGAGAATAGTACTGTCTGGAGCTTTGAATGGCTTAGGACTAGCTAATAAAACTAATAAAACTTATCGATACTTATCAAGCTCGAAATTATCGACTATCGATAAGTATTGATAAGCTTTTTAAGGCAATCACTTATGAGAATTTTCTCTGTGTGAGATAGCAATTAAAAGCTGCCATTCTTGGCTTTCCAATGAAACAATTTCCAAATTGATAGCTGTTCTAGAAAGCGAGATCTGAACGGTTAGACATGAGCTTTGTATTAATAATATCGATAAGCAAGACTGATGAATCGTGTTCTTGGTTGGGCATGAGAATAGTATTGTCTGGAGCTTTGAATGGCTTAAGACTAGCTATAGAAACTCTAGTCTATGTGATAATTGTAAGAATAGTGATAGTCATAGCTCAGAAATTTCTGAACGGTTAAACATCAATAATATCGATAAGCAAGTTTAGTTTCAATGTTAAATAATTTAAAAATTGCTTAACAATAAGTCGTACAATAAATTTCTATAGATCTCAATGCTATTTTGAGAATTTTAAGCAATGTAATGTTGGCTAATGGACAAAAGATTTTGTTTTATTTCAAAATGATCTCCTTGAAGCTACTTTTAAACTTTCCTAAAGCAAAGCCAAGCTTTCCTAAAGCAAAGCAAAGCTTTATTTTGTTGAATAACAGAAACAAGCTCTTTCTGGGACACTGATAATAGAAAGAGGTCACCATTTTCATCTAAAATTCAATTCCGACAATTCAAAATCCACAAAATATGTCTAAAACTAGCGATTTGATCATAAGAATATTACAAAGCTTTACTATGTGCTTAAACAGACTTGAAAAAAAGCTATGAACGAGCGATAGATGTGCCCATATGTCCGTTGTTCTAATCCACTTATTCTATGACGATGCCGTCTTTTTCTTCTCTTTGCAATTCCTCCTCTTTCTGCTTTAGCAATGCTCTCCTTTCAATCTCCTTTCCATCTCCTTTCCACATCTAAACATTCCCAACATTTCCCACTCATTTTTTGGCTTTTTAAGAACATCGAAAATCATTTTTTTTTTCAATTTTCGTTTACCCACTTTGAAATCATTTTTAATCTCTGTGCATAAATGATTTCAGTTTTAAATTGTTTGAACTTATTGTCAAATTAGAAGACTTGCACTGCTTACTTTTTACATTTTTCCTTCAATCAAATCATTGACCAGAACAAGGACATCAGCTACCTGGCTATCTGGCTGGCTACCTTACCTGGCTACCTTACCTGGCTACCTTACCTGGCTACCTGGCTCTTAAAGCTGGCTTCACTAGCCCACAAAGTACCTGTATTCGCCAAAAAATCAGACTTTTTACTTCAAAACTGATGCAGTATGCTAGAAAAGGGTGTGTTTTCATTCATTTTCAACACAAAGTACACAAAATGCACTTATGATTATCATTTCAAATGAAAATCAAAGATGTTCAGTCTTTTTTTTCTGAAAGAGGTTAGCATAAGAGGACTTGACTTTAAAAAAAGTATATTTATTTGACGCGAATAATTAATTACAACACAACGGAGGAAATTTTTATCCTTAATTACTCTTATTACCCAAATGTTGTTAAGAAAAAACGCATAATAATGGGAAAAGAATGAATCTTTCTAGCCGCCGGAATCGAACCCTAGGAAGGATAGTCTAGAAACCTAAGGATAGTCTAGAAACCTAAGGATAGTCTAGAAACCTAAGGATAGCCTAGGAACCTAAGGATAGTCTAGAAGCCTAAGGATAGCCTAGGAACCTAAGGATAGTCTAGAAGCCTAAGGATAGCCTAGGAACCTAAGGATAGTCTAGAAGCCTAAGGATAGCCTAGGAACCCAAGGATAGTCTAGAAGCCTAAGGATAGCCTAGGAACCTAAGGATAGTCTAGAAGCCTAAGGATAGCCTAGGAACCTAAGGATAGTCTAGAAGCCTAAGGATAGCCTAGGAACCTAAGGATAGTCTAGAAGCCTAAGGATAGCCTAGGAACCTAAGGATAGTCTAGAAGCCTAAGGATAGCCTAGGAACCTAAGGATAGTCTAGAAGCCTAAGGATAGCCTAGGAACCTAAGGATAGTCTAGAAGCCTAAGGATAGTCTAGAAACCTAAGGATTACCTGGAAGCCTAGGATAGTCTGAAGGTCTGGGAATAGCCTGAAAATCTAGAATAAGTCTGGAAATCAGGCTCTGCTCTGATTGGGCCAAGTACTGGGTTAGTACAGGGCTAAGTTTGAGTAACAATTGTAGCCACTCCAGATCAAAGAAAAAATTCATAATAACGGGAAAAAAGCCAATCTTTCTAGCCGTCGGAATCGAACCCTTAACCCCCCGACTAGGCGACAAGACTCCTATCCGGTATGATGGCTTTAAAGCAAAAGTTTTTAAAGTTTAAATGAAAAAATTCTCCTCTAAAACGCAAGATATTTGAGATAAATCTTTGATTAGATTATTCTCTACAATATTCAATGAACACTTTGAGTAGTTTTCGTGTTTTTGCCGAATTCTCTTCAATTCTCTTGGGGATTTTATCGAGTAGGCATCGAGAAAAATCTAAGAGACACAAAAAAAACCTTTTCACTTTCAAAAACCATAGAAATCTCGAGGTATTTCAAGGTTTATTAGTAAAGCTTTTATCTTATCTTAGTATTTTATCTAATAAACTTATCTAATAAACAAAAAAAGCAATTAAATCTATTCAATAGATTCAATCAATTCAATTAATCCAATCAATCCAATCAATCAATTCAATCAATTAATCCAATCAATTCAATCAATCCAATCAATCCAATCAATCCAATCAATCCAATCATCCAATCAATCCAATCATCCAATCAATCCAATCAATCCAATCAATCCAATCAATCCAATCAATCCAATCAATCCAATCAATCCAATCAATTCTATTTCAAGTTAACTTTCAGATGAGTTTAGTTGTTTTTCAATAAACCCAAACTGTTTTTCAATTAGAGTAGTTAATTAGAAGATAGATTTTAAGAAAAACATCTAGTCCTACAACAAATTAGTTTTCAATATACAGGGTACGGCAAAAGTTCGAAGCCGCTATGAAAACATTTCTAAATAAAGTATTTATATAAACCTTTGATCTCTTCAAATTCACTAGCATTTTATATACTATAAACATTATCAACAATTTGTTCTGTTTCTGTGTTCAAAAGCTTTCTACTTGTTCCTTTTTTTTTCTTAAACTTTCCATCTCCTTCCCAAAAAAAAATGTTTTTTCTCTAGAAAAGAGTCAAGATCTCTTTATTGAGATCTGGAGAGTATTTTCTGGAATCCAGGAGATTAGTCGCCTGGGAAACCTCAATCCCAAGCTTCCCTCTTCTCGCCTCGATAACCACCTTTGACTTTCATCATTTTTTTTCCAACAACAAAGTGAAATTGATCTTGTTGAGGCTTTCGATTTCTTTTTTTAGTGTCTATATGTTGTCTTGTTTTCATTTGTTGTGTAGACCAGTATCCAGAGATTTTTCTGGCTTAGTTTTTGCATTTTTATCAGCATAAGAAAAGGTTAAACCTTTTCTAAATAAAAAGCTTTCAAGCCGTCAAAAAATCAGCTCTAAAAACAGAATCTATTTCATCTATTTCAAAGAAAACAAATGCTTTTTGATAAATCTTGAGTGTTGTTTTTAAATTGATTTGAAAAAAATCAATTCAATTTGAATTTGATTTGAATTTTGAATGTCTTAGGATTTGAATTTGTCGAATATTTCTCTATATTTGTTATCTGCGGTAAAATACTGTAATAGTACCCCACCCCCATAATGACGGTGCGGAGTGTTGCGTAGTATAGTTCTAAATCGTAGCTTTAGTGACCGTCAAATCAATTCAAAAATATTGATCAGAGAAAGGGAATTTCAGAATACAAGCGATCACGAAAGCCTGTAGCCTTTAGCTCAATATTAAACTACAGCTCGAGACTGACAATAGCCTAAATCTATAGAAAAACCTACCGTAAATACTGTAATAGTACCCCACCCGCCCTCGTACAGTCACGTAGTCGCAAAAGTTTTTTAGTATTTTTTTCAAAGCGCCCGTACTTTCGAAAAATGCGTTTTTGGTATCAAAAAATAGCCCTGAATTTCAGCTATTTTTTGATACTAAAGCGAGCATTGTAGCATAAACCAGTGTCGAGAAAAACTCGTTCAAAGCTAGACTACGCAACACTCCACACCGTCATTATCTTTGGTATCAAAAAATAGCCCTGAATTTCAGCTACTTTTTTGATACCTAAGCGAGCATTGTAGCATAAACCAGTGTCGAGAAAAACTCGTTCAAAGCTAGACTACGCAACGCTCCGCACCGTCATTATGGGGATGGGGTACTATTACAGTATTTATGGTAGGTGTTTTCTTTGTGCTCAACACAGAGAAATGCACTTTCTCTGATGCACTAAACTCTTTTTTTACACCTTCAAATTGTTACTGAAAGAAAACATAATTCAGTACGCTAGAAAGCATGCGTTTACATTTCAACTCAAACGGCTCAAAGAACACTTTGGGCATTTGTATCAAAACGAACCCCTTTCTAGGTCCCATTCTGCGCCCGTTTTCGTCCAAGACTTGGATGACATAGTTTTCTTGACTTAGAATCAACAATAAAGTGAATTCTCGAATCTGAAATTCATCAATTATCAATTCGAATCTTTGGACGATTCAAATTCAAACCTTAATGTGAATCTTTTGCCTTTCCTTGCCTTTCCTCTTCTAAAAAGCTGTCTTTTCAAAAGAAAAAGAGTCCAAATAGCCCTTCTTCCCCGTTAAAAGAGAACTTTCAAGCCGGCTGAAGTAATTGTCTTTGCGAGGGCCACTTCACCCCTTTCCCATTGAAGTCAATGAGCTCGTCGCCCCATTTTGAAAACTTTTATCCCATCTTTACCCTTTTCAACTTTCGACCATAATTGCATTGTCTAATGAGAAGCGGCTGGAAAAAAAAAGTGTAAAATGTAAAATTTCTTGGCCTATTTTCGCGAGAAGCTTCATTACACGCCATGTGGTTAAATTGGCTTTCCCCTTCGCTCTTTAGAGCAGAAAAAAAAGAAAAAAACGTAAAACCAAAGTGCAGTCATTATTTCAACCAGCGTTAAACGAAAAGATCTAAAATTTTCGCTCTTTATTTAGAAAGAGTTTGAAAATAATATTCCATTGTTTCCTATAACATTTCCATTGGTTTTTCTTCAACTAAACATTATTTTTTTAGAGCTTTGTCTTTGTCAAATCCTTTGTCAAGTGTCACCTTTGTCAAGTGTCCCCTTTGTCAAATCCTTTGTCAAGCGTCACCTTTGTCAAATCCTTTGTCAAGTCTCACCTTTGTCAAATCGTGAATATCCCTCTCTCTCATTGTTTTTCTCCCTAAAAAATCTCTTGTTTTCATTCTTTTCGATAAAACTAGGATTCGCCAAAATCTTTCCAACTTTTTCTCTACACTTTTTGAAGGTTTCCATGGGGATTCAATGATTTGTGTGAAAGTTGGTCAATCCTTTTGTAGTAGTAAAAAAAGAAAAGGGAGAGATTCGGGATTCATTAGCTGTTTACTTAGAAATTGTTTCATTAGAAAGTTTTCACAATTTCACTTCTGCAATTTTGTCAGCTTTTATCTGATGGAAAAGTTTGAGAACGTTTTTCCAATAGCTCAGCAATGTTCATGCAATCATTGAATCAAAAACTCGGATCCCATTTTGTTCACGAGTCATTTGAAGGAAAGTGGATGAGGGAAGAGGGAAAGATTTGGATGGATTGAAGAGGAATTCAAGTGGGGGTGAAGTCGAGAAAGGATTCAGAAGAGAAGACTTCTCATTCATGCACATACATTACAAGGGGAAAATGGGGAGTAGAAGGGACACGATCAAATTGAGATCACTTACAAGGAGGGGGAAATGCGGCCACACTTTTCTGCTTAGTTATTCGAGTTCCTATTTCTGAATGTCAGCTGTTTTTTCACCAACTATTGATAATCTTATTTTATTTTGATTCCAACTATATTTGAAAGATCAGGATTGTTTAGAAGCTTTGCTTTGCTTTGCCTGGGTTTGCTTTGCTTTGCCTAGGTTTGCCTGGGTTTGCCTGGGTTTGCCTGGGTTTGCTTTGCTTTGCCTAGGTTTGCCTGGGTTTGCCTGGGTTTGCCTGGGTTTGCTTTGCTTTGCCTAGGTTTGCCTGGGTTTGCCTGGGTTTGCCTGGGTTTGCCTGGCTTTCCTATTTACAAGTCACTTTTAAACACTGAAATATCAATCAATGAGCTTTTTCTTACGTGAGAATGAAAACAATTGAGAACAACCACAACAAGAAGAGCTTCCATATGAAAAGCGGTCAAGAATTACCCCCAAATAATCACTAATTAACTTCAGCTATTCTTAGAGGATAATTGAACAAAGGAAAAGCTGCATTTTGTAGAGTTTGATCTCTATGAATCCAAAGAAAAATGAGAAGACAAATCTTTCTTTTTCTCTTTTCGGTACTATTTGCTATTTACACAATTTCTATCGAATTTCGGGGTAAAGTGAGAAAAGATTCAATCGAAATCCTTTCTTTTCTTTTTCTAAAAGCTTTTCAAATCATAATTAGGTATATTTTGCATATTTTAATTCAAGATTTGTAAAACTTCTTTTGTTCTAAGTGTCTTTTAAATATTACAAGAATTTTTCTTATTTATTTCCTTAAATATCGATCACTTTTCACTGGTAAACAAATGTCATAGAGAAAATTTAATCGAATGGACTTAATGCCAACTTAATCGTTTAATGATCAAGCTTAAGATCGGTTTGATTACGATCACAGAACTTTAGCCAACAAAGCAACAACGAAGCCAACAAAGCAACCAACAAAAAGTTCGTTCCGAAAGCAGAAACCAGTATTGAACCTGGGTTTTGATCCGATTTAAGTTTAGATTCAAGCTTGAACTGTTTAAAGCAAGTTGAGTTATCTATTACTGTGGAAAGTGACTGATTGTTATAGTTGAGTTGACTTGAAGAATTGCGAAATATGAAATAATCCGGAAATTAAAATATCTTTGAGATTTCAAAAGGATTTTATGAAATTCAAAGTTTTCACAAAAAAAAAAAGTGTCACAAACAAGCTTATCTCAACTTTAAAAGTTTTGTTCGCTTTCTGCATGACTCTCACGATTTCTGTGCTTCCGTGCAATTGAATCACTCAATCATTATTCTAATTGAATGAAATATTCTTCTTTCACTCTATTGCAAAGTCTCGAATCGATTCTCCATTTTCAAGTTTGCCGTTTGCCGTTTACTCTCACTCGCTCTACTCAAGCATAAAGTGATTTCAGTGCCATTTCTTTTTTATTCATTTTTCTATCTTTAGCCTAGTTAAAAGTTATTTTTAGATTTATTGAGAAAATTGATTTTTTTTTGAACTGTTTAAAGCAAGCTGAGTTATATATTAAATTTTGTTCGCTTGCTTGTTATCTATTAAGTTTTGTTTGTTTGTTTGTTATCTATTAAGTTTTGTTCACTTGTTTGTTATCTAATAAGTTTTGTTCGCTTGTGTTGTTATCTATTAAGTTTTGTTCGCTTTCTGCATGACTCTCACCATTTCTGTGCTTCAGTTCAATTGAATCACTCTATCATTATTCTAATTGAATGAAATATTCCTCTTTCACTCTATTGCAAAGTCTCGAATCGATTCTCCATTTTCAAGTTTTAATGCCATTTCTTTTTTTGTTAATTTTTCTATTCTTTAGCCTAGTTAAAAGTTATTTTTAGATTTGAACACTTATTTGAGACAATTTATGCTTATATAATGGCATCAAAAAGGCGAAGATAGACCTGAGAAAGGATATATAAAATTTTAAAAAAAAGAGATGGGTAAAAACGGAAGCAAATTGAAATCCGATCAGATACGAACACTGGCAGAACAGACTTACTGTAAGTTTTGCTGTTTACACTTATTGAATCGACTTTTTTTCTGTTAGTAAAGGAATTTGCATAGAAATTGAGCAATTTTATAGCATAAAATGATTCCATAAAGGTTTAGAATCAACGATTTAACGTTAGATTTGGCTTTGAATTTGATTTTCCAATAAATTTGGGCTCAACTTTATTAATCTTTTGTCAAAAATTAAGATTCAGGCTAATTTAGCCCTCTGATTTTACCTTATTTTCTAAGGATTTAAAGATTTAAAGATTAAGATTTAAAGATTAAGCTTTTAAGATTAGCATTTAAAGATTAAGCTTTTTAGATTAAGCTTTTAAGATTAAGCTTTTAAGATTAGCATTTAAAGGTTAATATTTAAAGGTTAATATTTAAAGATTAAGCCTTTAAGATTAGCATTTAAAGGTTAAGATTTAAAGATTAAGCTTTTAAGATTAGCTTTTAAGATTAAGATTTAAAGATTAGGATTTAAAGGTTAACATTTAAAGATTAATCCTTTAAGATTAGCATTTAAATATTAAGATTTAAATATTAAGATTTAAAGATTAGCTTTTAAAGATTAGCATTTAAAGATTAGCATTTAAAGATTAAGCTTTTAAGATTGACATTTAAAATTTAAGATTTAAAACCTTTCAGTTACTGAGAAAGAGATAAAACAATGGTACAAAGGATTTGTGCGGGATTGCCCAAACGGGATGCTCACCGAAGCTGTGAGTTTAAAAGTTCATTTATCAAAGTAGCGCTTTCAGGGTTTCATCAAAATCTATCGGCAATTCTTTCCACACGGTGATCCCACCGATTTTGCCTGTTTCGTCTTCAAAGTTTTTGATGAAAATAAGGTGAAATTAAGAGAAAAATACCAAGAAAAGATCTAAATTTTATAAGATTGAATCTGTCTTGTTAGTGACTAAAATTTACAAGAACTTTATTCTTTTTTTTTTTTTTTTTTTTTTTTTTTTTTTCCTTTTTTTTGTTGGTTTTAAAATTTCCAATACTAACTTTTAACTGGTAACTTTTAAAGTCTCCAATGCTAACAGGTTGTTAGATAATAATTCTAAGAATTCTAAATGAATCTAAGAGTCTAAATTTAAGTATTCTAGATAATTCTAAGAATTAAACTTCCTCATTGAACGCTAAAATTTAAACCATTAACCTTCTTAGGACGGTGCAATCGAGTTTCACGAGTTCATTCGCGCGCTCTCGATCACTTCTCGGGGGAATCTCGACGAAAAGTTACATTGTAAGCTTTTGAGCTGTAATATAGATAAAGTTGAATCAAAACTAACTTTCAGGGGCTTTTAAATTGTATGATCTTGATCAAGACGGTTTTATCACTCGTGACGAGATGCTCTCAATCGTTGACTCGATCTATAAAATGGTGGGCACATCGATTCGATTGCCCGAAGATGAGAATACGCCGGAGAAACGCGTCGATCGGATATTTAAGATGATGGACAAGGTAGGTAACGAGTAATGATCTAATTCTAAACCTTGATCTAAGCTTAAGCAACTATGGGGATTTAAAATATCTCGAAACGGATTTTGTCTTTCTCTCTACCATCCAAGATTTGATTGCATCAAAAATTTGTTCTCAAGCTTTTAAGCAAAGTACTCAAGCAAAGTACTCAAGTAAAGTACTCAAGTAAAGTACTCAAGCAAAGTACTCAAGCAAAGAGTACTCAAGTAAAGTACTCAAGTAAAGTACTCAAGTAAAGTACTCAAGTAAAGTACTCAAGCAAAGTACTCAAGCAAAGTACTCAAGCAAAGTACTCAAGTAAAGTACTCAAGTAAAGTACTCAAGTAAAGCACACTTCCTAGCAAGCATCAGCAATTCTTTAATAAATCCTTTCTTGACTAAACTTATCTACTAAACTCTAATTTGAAATCTCTGAGCTCTGAAATCAATCTCTGAAATCTCTGAAATCTCTGAAATCTCTGAAGTCTAAAACAACAAACAACAACATAAAAGCTTAATCAGTCATTTCCACAGTAATTTAATAGATAAATTTTTTAGAATAATGATGCTCAGCTGACACTTGATGAGTTTAAAGAGGGAGCAAAAGCCGATCCATCAATCGTTCACGCACTCTCTCTATATGAAGGTCTCAGCAATTAAATGAGCGATTATCAAATAAAAAAAATACGTGTTTACAAATATTCTAATCAGCTAGTGACGTTCAAATATTCACCAGCTGCTTTCTTTATGCTTATTCGTTTTATTTTAAACTTTTGCGATGGTTTATTAAACAATAAAATTTTAAAAAATAACGTCATTTTTGTATTCTAAAGTAAATGATCTAAAGAAATGAGCCTCTAAATCATTTTCAATGCTCGCTTTCTAGCTCAAAGGAAAACGAGGTACAGCTTTTGAAAGAAAAACATTCACTGATCAATTTTTTTTGAGAGAATTTGAGAGAATTCTAGTTCTGGAATCAGATTTTCTAAATGGTGATCAAGGGTGATCAAATGTGATCAAATGACACAAGCCATACACTATTGGACGCAGAATTTTGCGCTCATTCCGAATCTGCTTCCAGTTTTTGCTATGGAGTACCCTGTCAAAAGTTATAAACGTGCAAAGTTTTGTATGCGATTTTAAAAATCATTTCTGTTCCGAGCTGTTGAATTAACTTAGAGCTTTGAAAAACAGTTTTGAGGTCTATTTTTTGAGGACTTATTTAATTAGCTTTAAGGCTATTTTAGATAAACCTAAAAAAATCTATCCGTTAAAGATGATCATTTAAAAATAAAGAACTTAAATTTCAATTTGAATGAAAAAAAAGACGAGATTTTCTTTATGCAAGCAATAGCAATAGCTTTAAAAGAATGTTCAAAAAGATTTCTTTGCTTGTATCTTTATGCAGCTTGAAGTCTCCATTTCTCTATCCAAAAATACTTTATTCAAATCTTTTGGAATGAAACATGAATGAACTAGAAAAAAGAAAGAACTACCCAGCCAAATAAACTAAAAACTTGCTTAAGCTATCGTAAAATCATTCAAATAAACAATCATTGCATATGGGATAATGAAAATATTAGGTAATGAGAAAAATCACAGTAAAATCAATGACCAGACCAAGAAAGAGACTAGTCTGAAGGCAAAAAATGGTTAAGAATCTTAGCTTATCGATTCATTCCTCTTTCTCGGTTTTCATCTCTTCATCGATTCGCTCTTTGGCTTGTTCAAAAAACTGAAATTCTTGTTTCTCGTCTTCCAATCATCTTTTACCTTTTCTTTGCTTTCAGCGAGTTTATCCTCTGCTGATTGAATCCATTCTTCAAGAATATCTTTTCCTGGTTGCGCACCGTCCAGTAAGAAAACCTGTAAACACTTGTATCTTAACTAAAGCGTTCTCTAAAAGGTGAACTTGAGAAAAATGTATCATAATCTTAAAGTTATCGTAATACTCCTTATAACAAGCACTATAAACTATAAAAATAACGAACTGTCACACTAGAAACGCTTCTAATTTAATTCAAATCTGTTGGATTGATATGATCTATAGCACAAAAGATAGAGAATTTCAAGGGCTTTTGAATGGACTAAAGCACACTTAAAAATATCAATGTTAAAGAAAGTTGCAATGGTTTGTAGTTCTAACTCGTACTCGGGCGTAATCGAAGCTATCGAGTAACTACAAACCATTGTAAATTTCTTTAGAATCAATATTTTTTTGATGTGCTTTAGTCCATTCGAAAGCTTTTGTGATTCTCTATTTTTTTAAGCTATAGATCGTTTCAATCAGGCAGATTTGAATCAAATTAGAAGCGTTTGTAGTGCCCAAGTCTATCCTAAAGCTTTCCAGCAATCTGGTTTCTTTTGCTGTAAAGATAACGGTCAAATTTGCCAGTTTGTTTATTTCTTTAATAACTAGAGTACTTTTCTAGAACACTTTATTTTACTTTAACAACTTTTCTAGAGAATTTTTTAGAAAATCTTCAAGTTCTAACTAATTTCCACAATTTTATTAGGACACAGGCAAAGCGCTATCACTGTTTTCTCAATCCAGAGTCTTTTGATAAGATTTACAATTCATGTAAACCAAATAGAAGCTTTAAATTCTCATTTTATCATCTCAAAACGTTTACCTCAGGGCCTCCTCCATAAATCTTTTGCAAATACACATAACATTCTCTCGAGATTTGCGTGGCAGCTGGTCGTCTCCTCAATCGTCGTCCAGCATCAAATGCCTCAAGCAAACACTCGTTGTTGATTTCATTTGGAGGCTCTAAAATTTATTGAAACTATAATCTTTAATGAAATAGTTTTGTAGCTCACCTTGTGATGGATCATTTGTGAATTTCATCCAATTGTTGAACCAGCTTGTACTGATCAAATTTTGGGGAAGATGAGAAGAGAAAGTAAGGCCTTGATCAAGTGCTTCTAGTTCAATCACAGAGATTTCTCTTTTTCTAAATTCTTCCCATTCTCTTTTCTTTCTTGCTTCAAATCGTTGTTGACGTCGTTCACATAACATGCAGTAATGAAGAGAGGTCAACTCTGGTCCACCACCATATCTAGATTTAAATAATTTAAACCATACAAAACAAATAGTACCATTACTTTTATTATTGTTTTATTGAATAAGTTTCCTTTTAAGTGTTGATTGTTTACTGAAATTAGAATAAAGCTTCTTTTGGTACAGATTCAGCTCTAAAACTGAATCTTTGGGTTCAATTAAAAGATTCAAACGCTTTAGTCTTATCAGCCGATCACCTCTTGGCAAAAAAAAGTAGTAAAGAAGCATCAACTTACTCATTATGCAAAAGTTGCCAAAGTGATGAGGTGACTCTTGTAACAAGATGGGGAATCGCTTGAGCACGTCTGGGTGAGATGTGTCCATGTCGGCAAAGAAGGGTGTGATTGGTGATCGGCCCTGGGGAAGCAAAAGATCCAACTCGTTCCAACCAGTCAGTTGATATGAAATGCGTCATCTTGTACTAAAACCGATTGCTTTCGGGGGGCTATTCAAAAAGCCCACCTTTGGCTCATTTCTAGTCGGATGGAGCATAGTGAAAGCCTCGTCTCGTACAGCTTCACGATTCGGTGAAATCGAGCGCTGATAGAAGAGAACATACGCCTAAAAGCCGGGAAATTCTAACACTTGACGTTAAACCAAGCACGGGTTATCAGCTTAACGTTAAAAGAAAGGAAAATGTCTAAAGTTTTGCTTTTTGTGTTTTTCATCGTTAGATAAATAAATGTCATTCGGGGAATCTTTTCAAAGATCCTCTTTTTAGAACAGAACTTTTCAGACCTCTTTTGTCATCACATATGCGGCGTCGACTTTAGTGACAGTAGAGTCATCGAATTCATACCTAGAACATTAGGTTTTAGATTATGGTAGTGAGAGTTTTCCAGTTTTTGGAATTACCAGTTAGAGTCGATTTCATTTCGACAATAGGCAATGTAGTGTCCTGAATCGGCTCCACTGCCTTCATGTGTAACAAGACCACACAGCTCATAATTGGCCTCTCCTCGAACATCGGCCATCCACCGTGAAGCATCGAGGCCAAAAAGTGGGAAATCGACACGAGTCCAGATCTGAAATAGAAACAGTAATGGACAGTCAATATTAGTATTGACTATTTGTTAAAATAGACTTTGTTTAATTGAAAACTATTCTGGCAAGCTTTCAGTATCTTGCATAACAATTGGCTATAGACCTTTGAACTCGAGAAGTTGTCATGTCGAAATCGTTTGAGGTGAATGCAAAGCACTTCCGGCAATTGCGACATCAAGCACGTTTTGACTCCGTTTCGCAATCTGAACGCAAAAATGATTTTTGGAGAAATAAAGGAAATCCGGTGCATTTGCGTTAAAGTTTCACAAAATTTGCATTTCAAAAACAAAAAACCACTGCATCATTTGCGATATATCCCGTAAAATTTGAATACAAGAAATTCAGGCTAAACCATTCCGTAAATCCTTTTCATTTTCGATTTTTACTGTCCCATAATCGCTCTCTACCCACTTCCGAAGAAGAAGCGACAGCGTTTTTCCAAGCGAACGGAATACTTCCACGAGCTCGAACGTGTCGGAACGGTCATGCGATGAATCTCTCAACTAACAAAGCCTATCGATGGAGATGTGGAAAGAGTTCTTGTCTCACAGAAGTTGGAATCCGTCAATGTTTCAATTTTTAAATGCAAATAATGCATGGGTTCTTTTTGTGGGGACATAACGCAAAAGTACTGGAAGTCCTTACTTTTTGCATTTCTCACAGCTGTACATGTCGTCGCCAACAAGTTTATCGGGAGTGAAAAATGCATCGAGACAATCTTCAAGGGAAATCGATTGGGGCACTACCCATGAAAGCCACCACCGGGCCCAGTTCATCAACTTCGAAACGATCTAGAAATAAATGATTGAATGCGGGTAAGCTCGTGATAAAGTAATTACAAAATGTCTTTTCTTCTGTTGATGATCACTTTAATCTAGTTATTTAATTTAATTTAATCAATACCGATGTCGACGAGCCAAGCGTACTCGATTCCTGTGCCATTTTCTCTAACTGTTCCATGCTTGGAATCGGCAATGATAGGTCCTGAAAATAGAGATTTAAATTAAAGAGCTTCTTCCAAACCTGGAAAGTCTCCGTTGTTGTGCTGAGATTATTGCAGGTTAAACATCGGACACTGCTCTCAAGCTTTCCGTCGAATACTTCACTGACGATACTGCGGAAACCAATCGGTCGCTCGTTTACACTTCGACTCCTTGAAGTGGACGCTTGTTGATCACCGACGCCGCTTTGCTCACTGTCCGAGCTCAGTCCACTGTCACCGTTTCCATCCTCACTAAATGTGATTTCTTATTTGCTTTAGTTTTACTAAAAAACTATTTACTTAGTCGTAAATGCTGAAGTTCTTTAGCCTTGCAGGATTGTTCAAAAGGCTACCTCGGCTAGAAAATCAAGTCAAGAAGCAATCCTGACCTTGAAAGACTTGAAAGATAGTGTTCTTAAATATTTTGCTCCTAACTTCTATTGCGTAAAGCACTCACTTCGGCAGCCATTCATCATTTGCCAGCTGATTCTCATAGGAGAAGATCGGTTGGCCAAGCTCTCGATGAAGTAGCTCTAACAAGCACCGGATTAATTCCTAAAATGATAAATGGAATTGATAATTAACTTGTAAAATTTTGTAAACCTGTGCATCTTGTTGGGCCCAGCCTCGAAACTGTGGGAACTCTTCCCGGATACGCATCAGCAAGACAGTTGGAGCAATCGATGGTTCTCGTTGTTCGGCCCATAACTGTAAAAGAATTTTGTATAATTCTAATTCTAATTCTGTCTAATTCTTTGTCATATCTTTAATCAATTGTTTTTGAAAGCTAGCCTTAACTTCCTAAAAACTACCTTTTGAATGATTTGCGCCATCGCATTTGAAACAATCGGCTGTCTTGTTGACCAAGGTCGAAGATTCGCTTTATATCTGGAATTTTATGCTTAATTCAAAAATATAAAGCTGAGTTTATCGTTAAGTTTATCATTTAAAATTATATCAAAAGAAACCTGAAGAAAGAAGCAAATGGAGAGCAATTGGAAAGCGCTTGCAACGCCGCGTTGAAGTAACAAGTGTTCCCCAGGTTCAACAATCCGGTTAGCCCTGAATATTCTTTATTTTATTATTCTGCATCCAGTCAAACCTCGTGGACATATTGAGTCAAAGAAGTCATCGTTTGATTTCGCGATTGGTCGTGACTCTAATGCACATTCTTCCAGTGGACGTCCGCGAGATCGCGTGAGACGAGCCACTAAATTAAAATATAATCAATACTGGCTTGTTTTTTGTGCTCAAAAACGTAAACACTCTTTCTAGTTTCTAGTTCTTTCTAGTTTTCTAGTTCGTAAACACTTTTTCTAGTTCTAGTTCTAGTTTTCTAGTTCCTACCAATTCTTGTTTGTATAAACAACAACCGATAAGGAATTAAGCCAGAAATGCTTGAGTAAAGTACTCCGGATTGTTCATTTAAACTCACATGCTGCTCCTCTTGATTTTCGTTGCGTTATTTGATTCGAAGTCGTTTTTTTCTAAAGTTAAACATTTTAAGAAATTTTTAATCAACTTACCAATAACCTTGGGATTTCCTTGTCGCAATCGTGGCACCATAATCGATCATTCTTGATGTTTTTGAAAATTGGATGGTTGGTGTTCTAGAAAGGATGTTGAATGCTTAATTTTGAATTTGGCAATGATCGAATTGATAAGAACCTTTTAGCACCTTATTATCATGTTTTGATTGTAAAATTTTGTTCTCCAAAAGTTGCAGATATGACAAACCTTATGATGTAAAAGACAATGACTTTTCCCGCGTACTCCACAGAAATTTTCTTGACACGTTCCACATTGCCAAACGCCTTGCGATGTGCAGTCTTCACTCGAACACTAGAAAACATAAAACATAAAATATTGTGAAATAAAATCACTCTCAATGTTGAAGATTTCCCAAAATTGGCGACTCGTTGATGTGGGCAAGAGCTCATCTAAATTGAAAGTAAAGAAAAAAAAAGAAACATTGAGTTTAAAAGGTTTAATGACAAAACTTACTTTTTTATTGTTTTTGCTAAGCAATTTCGCATTTCCCGAACGAAGTAGCATTGGGGGTGAAAATGGGAACTTTATAAGCGTTTTGAAAGGACGGATCGGTACAGAAAAGAGACGTCATTTGGAGTGCGACGTTTTTGAAGATTACTGTAGCCGATGTTCTAGCAGATTGATTAGATTCAAAGTTTTCAATTTCGTCGTGTTAATCCTTCATAACTTGTGAGCTTGTACAGCTTACGACTTATTCCGAGCTATAGCTTGTTTCTCATGAGTAGTGCTTTCTCAAAGGTTTCTAATTTATAAACTAGCGTAATCTTTTTCGTTTTGCTTAGTTATATTTTCCTATTTTAAAATAGGAATCTAAATTTGATTCTATTTCAAAAAAACACGAAGCTATTTCTTTTTCTTTGCCTTAGAGAATATCCATGTCTCTGTGACTGAAGCTCAAATCATCAAGCAACATCCGGTTCAGCTCATGAAAACTTGTAAAACACTACATTTGCAACGAAAAAAACTATAGATGCAGATTCAAACACTGCATATTTTTTTAGATACTTTGGCTTTTCCAACCAACTCGCACACGTTTGTTAACATTCAACCGCTCATTTTACGCACGAATACGGTTAATTCAACTTGGTTTAGCTCTTAGAGACCATGAACAAACTATCTATTTCTAAAGCTATCCTCAAAAATATGTGGCACCTTTAAGTGCTAAACAGAAACCAGTCAAGCAACATTTTATGGCCTGGTTTGAATAGTTTAGCACTCCTTGTGTCTAAACTATTCGACAATCAGTAATAAAGCTAATTTAGTTCTTTTCTACTACAATAATTCAGCCAAGCTTAACGATTTTCCTATTTGAGAGTCCGAGTCAGGCTCTAGTCGGTCGGTAAAGTGAAAGGTTGGCGAGGTTTCAGAATAAAAAAAACACAAACACTCACTGCTTAACCTTAAGCCCCCAAGTCCACACTTAAAACTATCTTAAGCTCATAATAACAATGAAAGAAGCTCAGCAATCATTCAACTTCAAGTCAGTTTTGATTTAAGTAAATAACAAGTTGCAAAGATTTGAAAAGATGTGCAAAAGATCAAATTAACAAACTTCAGTATAAGTCACTCGTTTCAAGGATATCGAATGAGTCATATCAAAATAAATTAGAAAAGGAAATGATAGATCAAGGAAAATGAAGACAAAGAAGAGATAGAGAGCAGTATAAAAGGCGAGCCCAAATCCACTCTAGGAAAGAAGAAATCATCCAGCAGTTTTCCACCTTCAATCCTGCTCTCCAAAGCCCTCAATGATCCGCAGGCCGTTCTCCAAAGGTTCCCAGTCGGTGCCCCTTTGGAAGCGACTTGTCGAGTTGACTTCTCGGGATCTTATAAATTAGAGAAAAAAACTTTAACCAACCCTATCCGTATCATTTTGTACCAGCGTCATTGAAACAACCAAAAAGAATATAGTCAGTAGAATAAATTAGATTGAATGCATCGGTATTTTTGGGTCTCTTAAAGTGTAAATGCTAATTATTTTTGTGATATGTAAATTTTATGTGCCTGATGATTTACCAAACAATCCCAAAGTTTCTTCGTGAGAATCCTTTGTGAAATGAAATGTAGACGTGCGCAAATGTAAATTTAAAATCAAGCAGTAAAACTATTACAAAAAATCGTTCCAGTTTTCGAGTCGAGTTTAACATTAACAAAAAAAATGATTGCATAAATTGCCTTTCCCCTTTGGGGAGTCAAGGACAGCAAGACAAAACCTAACTAAATTACAACCAAATACATTTCAAGGAGTTTTCCAGACCTTTCACTGTGCACTGTAGCTTTGTATGCCCGTTTAGACTGAACGTGTGAATACTCTATTGCGCTGAGCGTAATATTGTGGGTGAATTACCAAACATATTGTCTATTATGCGGTGCAAGAATATAAGATTGAATAGAATAATTAGGCTTTCCTTGTCAACCATCTACTTTTGAGCCGTTCTCGGTGGTCGTTTGTTTTTTATTCCAGTCATAAATGTCAGCAAATGGTTTAAAAATTGAACAATATTTATTGACAACAAAAACAATAAGTCATTTAGTGGCTTCCGCATGCTTCGATGATCTTCTGGTATGGAGCAATCTAAAAGAAAACGGTTGCGACGTTGTAAACATAAATGGCTCCAATCAACTTTTATTGTGATCTTTAGAAATAGTCAAAACCAGAACTGATGTCAGATGCCTATAACAGCTTACTAACTATCATATAAGCTGTAATAGAAAAGCCCCTAGAGGGAAAGGGAGGAAATGGAAGAGTCGGCTCCACCATTACAGGTATTACGGTAGTAAGTCCAAAACTGTTACCTTCTTAGCGGCGTTCTTGAGTGCTTGGACCTTCAGTTTGTGCAATTTCTTCTGTTCTTCGTGGTAAGCGGCGCCCTTGACTTTTCTCTTCTCTTCGAGCTTCTCAACAACTCCCTTGTATTGCCATCCAACTTCGTGAGCAAGACGTCCAACTAAACAGATTTAGAAAACTCAAGCAAACATGGAAAACAAACCTGTGCAGAACTTTCGGCGTGGCTTAAGGGCCAAGAATCTCATGGCTGTTGGGAGAACCATCTTCTTGGTCTTGTCGTATGGTGCTGGGCATCCCTCGAAGGCTTTCAGGCGTTTAAGTGCAAGTTGTCCACGGTTGCTCTTGTGTGGAAGCATGCCTCGGACTGTTCGCCAGAAGATCTTGGCCGGAGCACTGAAATAACATTAAAATCAATCAAACTGTTACTCGTTAGATGAACAAAGAAAATCAACGCTTATGATAAATTAGAAATTTATCCTAAAACTGCAACCAACCGGAAATGGTAGGGACCACGCGATGGATTTACGTTGAGTCGCTTGCGAAGGAAGGAGAGGTACTTCAGCTTTGATCGGTGGAAGTTGCCAGAAATTGTGATCAATTCAGATCGAACGATAACAACCTAAATTCGATCATAAAATCACGTTAACTCTTTACGTATTTATTTGTTCCTAGTTTCCTTAACAACTCTGCGGTTATAATGGTGGTGTGCTATCATTAATCAAACTCATCTAATGCAGATGGCTAGCTACCTAACCACTCCAAGCTATTACAGATTCGGTAGATCAAAAAAATAAGAAAGGTAAGGTAGGCCTTTGAAACATTGCTAGGACTAAAAGGTTTTCCATTTCTTCAAATCATATCTCAGATCAATCACGCAGAACATTAGCACAAGAAGGTTAACCATTTTTATCGCAAAGCTAATCATTTGCCGACCAGAAACTTTAAAAAATACCTTTTGTCCATTGAGAAGCTGCTTGGCGACAACTGAGGCAAGTCTACCTAGCAAGTGATCCTTGGCGTCGATGACGATCGGCCTATTGCTCAGACCCATGTTTGCTTTCTGAAAGTTGACAATTAAAGCATGAACTTTATAGATATACATATTTAAAAGCAATAACAAGAAAAAGAAAAATTGGAGGTGCCAATAAACTTCGGGAGGAGGGCCGGGAGCATTTGAGCCGACTTGGTCAGACTGTGCTACCAAAGTTATTTTACTTTTCCTGGGGCAATCAAACATGCTGAATCTATTAATAATATTTTTAGAAAGTTTTGAGCAATTTTATTGACAACTTGTTAAGCTAGCTGAAGTTTTATTAGTACCAAATTGGATATACAAAGGCTTACGGGAGCGCATTGTTTAACGAAAGAAAAATTCAAGCATTAGAGTCAAGATGAGGCGTAAAAGCAAGCACGGAAGTGAAGCAGAAAAAAGCGTTTTCAGATGTCTAAAAGATAAAAATAGCGTTTTCAGGTGCCTAATTTCAAAACTTCGAAAGGATTCGAAACTACGAGGACCGGTTTTTTGAAATAAGATAGGCCAATGCTAAGTAAGGTTACAAAAGCCAATAAAATTTGATCGCGCAACAACTCACAATAAAAGCAACATGCCCTTTCATGAAAAAACTTTTTAGAAAGTAAATTTATTTTTGCAGAGGAATTCATTTTTCCGTGTCTTTCTGTAGCGACACTTTTGCGCCAACTGTAATCGCGACGAGACGCAACGGGGCACGGTTTAGGAAAGACGTCGGCACAAGATAGAATATTAAGTTGTTCAATTGAATCATTTGGATCACTGATAAAAGATGGAATAAAAAACTTTTTAAACCAAAAATGGAACAACTTTATCGTTTTAAGCTTTTTTGCAAGTTTATGCGTAGAAAAAAATTTAAGGTAGATGACTGGACATGTAAAATCAAATTGTGGCCTTTTCTAGGCACTCTCGATATTTAGCAAATCGTGCTTCAGAGTTCCTGGAAATGGTTTTGCTTTCAAATTTAAAAGTGATATCAACTTGATGTAGCAGAAATGATCATCACTTCTACCGAATCGGTGTTGAATCAGTGACCAGACGCTCCAAAGAAAATGGTTGGCCTAAATTAGCCATGATTTTTGGTCATTAGTTTTTGGAAAAATCGAAGTTGCTAGCTAAACTTGATCTTATAACTTGAAATCTTTGGCACAAACTTTAAAATGTTTACAATTTAGTGAACTTACCGCCTCAAAAATACGAATCCGTTGCAGTATTTCGTTGATCAGCTTTTCCGATGGTTCAACATTATAGTAGGCTTGCAAATATTCGCTGAGAAAAAGCTTTCGATCTTTTGAAGTTAACGTTCGAAAATCAGAAGCTGTTTGAGCACCTGAAAATTTTGTATAAACAATTTTAGCAATCAACAAACCCTCGTGCTGCCAAAAATAGTGAGCAATGTCGTATTCAGGAAAGTTCATCGCAGCGTATTCAAAATCAATAAAGACTAACTTATCTGGAATTTGTTTTTACAAAGATTTTCGGTTTTTCCACTACCATCTTCGTAAATGACGTTGTTAAGTCGGAGATCATTATGGCACAAGGTGAGTTGAAAATCCATTGATTCTATTTTTCTCAACAACTCATTACCAAGATCACTAAAAAGTTTATGGATTGAATTTTCAGGCTTTTCGAACTAACCTCATTTTTGGATCATTCAACTCAAGTAGATAACTTTTAAGTGTTTTGGTGAACCATGGCTCAGAGCGGGCAGGATTCTCGACTGACAACAAGTGAAAAGTCGCTAATTTCTTGGCAATCAATCTAGAAGTTCTTTTAAAATATGTAATAATTTGGTTTTTTTAAACTCATGAATCTTTGGATCATCAATAGATGAAAGACCAAGTGTTCGGCCCGGACAAAACTCTTGAAGCATCACTTTTTCATCAATGTAGATGACTTTTGGGCAAATTCTCGCCAATGCCGCTTGTTCCAAAACCCTTTTCTCTTCAATTCTAAACTTTTCAATTTCTCACACCTTTCTTTACAGTACCTGTCCACCAGCTTCTCTGTTCCAAAGCCATTCACTCGAAAAACGTATCTACTCTCGTTATCGATTTTTATCAGGTACATTGTGTTTGTTAAGCCTCCAGCAATTTTCTGAACTTTTAACATAAAAATGCACTCAAATAAGTTCTTACTTCACAAAGAACATCTTTTCCTTTCGGCAATCTATGTAAAGAATCCAAAACAGCACATGCGTTTTCGCAAATATCTTTATTAGCCATCAAAGAAAGCGAAAGTAAAGACAAAGGAAGAAAAGGAGAAAGAAGGGTGAATTGATACAGGTGTGGGAAAGAGAGAAAAATTTTCTAATATCCGGGTGGGAGACGGGGCGGACTGCAGTGCGAGCATGATCCTCGAGGGCCAGATGAACCAGGTGGTCCACGATCTCCAACTCGACCCTCTTTCCCTTCACTACCCGATGATCCAGTACCTAAAAATGCGTGTACTTTTCTTCATTTGACTTCATAGTTATCAATATAATGGTTATTATGATTTCGTTATGAATTTCGTTATTGTGAAAATGAATACTTCCTCTTTCTCCGCGTGGTCCTTGCAGCCCCGGTTTTCCATCAGCTCCTTTGACACCTTTTGGCCCAACCGGTCCTTGAGGCCCAGGAGATCCTGGAACGCCTGGTGGTCCAGATACCTGAAAGAAATCTTGTACGGTAAATAGGATCAACTTACAATGATCACTCTTCCATCATCACCCTTTGGCCCTTTCGGTCCGACTCTTCCCGGTCGGCCCTTCACTCCTTGCGCTCCCGGTAGCCCGTTCTCACCCTTTTTCCCATCAATGCCAGAATTTCCTGGCGATCCTCTTGGACCTGGGGGTCCTTTGGGTCCCGACTCTCCAGGAGCTCCAGCTGGTCCTAAATTTCATCACTTGAGTTTTAATGATTAAATTACCTGGTGGACAAATGATACAAGGCTCGGCTTGGACGCCAAGTGGTGAAAGAATGATTCCACTTTTACCGGATGTTCCCTCATCCCCGGGTTTCCCATCCAAGCCATCGTTACCATCTTCTCCAGGTGGACCAGGAGGCCCGGGTAAGCCTTCTTGACATCCACAACACTCAGCATCTTCTACATCTTCACCGTAGGGTTCGGTTTCAGCTAAAGATTATTGATTTTTATATAAAGTGAGAAAGAAACCAATAACTGGAGCATTCATCCAATGACCGAATGTCCAAGATCTCTTTATCCTTTCTGCTACTGTAGCCGTAGGAGAATCGATTCCCATGGAAATCACATCAATCCACATATCTCGAGTTTTAATCTAGAAGGCTTTGAGAGTTTAAAATAGAGCTCTTTCAGGTTGAGCGTCAACCTTGCAGAACTCCACTTCGTTGACCATATTGGTGTGAATCGTTTGAATGTAATTGTGGATCATGGGTAGTGTGATTACAGCAGAAAAGACAGCTCCGGTAGAAAGCTAGAGATAATGTTCAGAATACATGCTTTTTAGGTATAAAGGTAACCTAAACTCACCACAACGGCTAGAAAAGCGCTCCTCTTCAAGCGATTCTCGTTGCTGTCTTGTGCCATTTGAAAACTTCCAATGTGGAATAAATTGAAAGGCACTTTTGAGGCAATAATATGCTGTTTATAAAGCGAGAATGCAAAATTTGACATTCTCTTTGTTCATGGCTCTGAAAGCGACACACTTTCGGATCAGATAACTGTTTCTTCCGTGCCTCCCACCAATTCAATTCTTTTCAAATGCATTTTTCTTTCTATTTCTTTTAATCTCAAGAAGAAAAAGTGTTTATGTGAAAATAAAAACAAACAAATAGCTGCTTTGATCTAAATAGATGCTGTTGTGTTATGCGATAAGAACTTTACTTTGGCTTCACTTCCAAAAAATTGACAATAAAAAGTGAACAGCTAAAGTTTCAAGTTATCTTGTTACTAGTTTTTCTTAAAGTTACTGCTCTAAATCAACTTTATAAATGCAATTTCCTTAAATCGAACTTATTTTAGCTTAAAAAATTTGGTCTTGTTATAGTAGAGGCAAGACTATTTTTTCTTAAAGTTACTTCCTTTCCCTTTCCAACTCAATGATGCACAATTTTGTTCCAAATCTCTTGGTAAGTTTGGTAAGAAATTGAGAAAAGGGGAAAAAATGTATTTCCCAAGACAAAACATCATAGTTGACTATTCATCTCAAAATTTCTGTCCAGTAAACGCGATTCCAAACTCTGTAGCAGTCTACTTTATCTGTTTCCTAACTCACTTACCCACTTAACACTTTGTCTTCCAATTTCACTATCTATCACCTCAAAAACCTCATTTCAATCCAAGCAATCATCTTCGAAGAAGAATTATCCCATTAAAAGTAGAACATTTTCAAATTCCCTCCAAAAACTTCAATGGTAACCAATTCGTGGCGGGACCCCAGAAAATTCTTACACGAAAAATCATTTCCCCGCCAATCACCGCCCAAGTCTGTCCACCAATCACCGCTCTCAACCAGTCAGACACGCAGACACTCCACATCATTCTTCATTGATTTTTCTTTTTAAGCAAATTTTTCAAGATGCTATTGTGAAAATATAAAGCTAAAACTTGAAAAATTTGATATCGAGTATCCGGGGAGGGTTCAGGGGTCGATTTTGAGCGGTTTTGAGTGAAAATCCACGTGGTTGGACCTAAAAATGTTGTCGAAATTTTTGCATTTTTGGGCTCTTAGATGAAAGTTTTCATCGATAAAACACGGAAATGATCGAATTTTGTGGGAATATTGCTAAATACGGCGGTAATTTGGCGGGGAAGCGGTGTTAGTTTCGAAAAAGGACGCCTTGACGCTGGCACTCTGCCGCTCGCCCGTTTCCCTACATTGTTACTATTGGTTATTTATTACAGTTTTGTGAGGTTTTTATGCAGATTTCGGTTAGGAAAAGTAGAAAAAACGTTTCCCCGATGTTGTTTTTATCAAGGATTTGCTAGGGTGTTTTCTAAAACTTGCTATTTCCGCTAAAATAGATATTCAGCTGAATGATTGTGAAATTGCGACAAAAATCAGACGGATCTAGAGCATTTCATTATTCTTACTGCAGTTTTTCTCAAAAACGACTAGATTCTAGATTTTTCTCGTCGGCATGTGTAAGATTTGATATTATTACATTCCTCTCGCACATATTCTACGGGCACATTTCTATTTTTAGTTGTTTTAGTCATTTCCTCATTATTCACGTCGTTTTGTCGACAATTAGTCTAGACTTTACTTTTCAGCGTCACCTTCAATGCTAAACGATGAGTGAAGGGGACATCAAAAACGAAGAAATCGAGTCCTCCGAACCACATGACGAACAAGGTGGCTTAATAGTTTGCGTTGGTCAATTATTTTTAGAGGATTTAGAGGATCATGGCTTCGAGGAGGGCGAACAGCCAACGATCAAAGCAGAAACCGCTGAAGAGATTCAAGAATTGCTGGCTCCATGGAAAAGCCCTAGACAGGTATGACTAAATAAAGTGACGCTGATCGATTTAAATTTTAAATCGATCAGCGCAACTCGAAAAGTAAAGCTCTTTGCACTTTTGGATTTACAAAAGTCCTTATTGTTATTGTACGTATTCTGATATCATCATTCCAAGTTTACTGTTTTAGGAACCGGTCGGCGGCGTTGTTCAGCCACGGGTACTACCACCAGTCGGAAAGCCAACGAGACACACCAATCAGCTCGAATTTATCTTGAACAACGTCATGAAGCATGCCTTGAAGCACAAGCACGCCTGGCCGTTTACAAAGCCCGTTCATGCTATCGAACTTGGACTCGCGGTCGGTTTTCTTGGATGGGTTACTACTGAAATGTCTATTAGGTAATTGACTCTATTTTTAATTCAGGACTACCACAATGTTGTGAAGAGGCCGATGGATTTGGCAACAATCGAGAAGCGCCTCAAGAACTTTTACTACTACACAGCCGTCGAGTGCATGAATGTAAGTGAAAAGAAGACATGAAATTGTTATTGCCTCCAGTTTTATGCAATTTTTTTTAATATTCTAACTTTTCAAAAAAGGGAATTACAATTTTTTTAAGTATTGATGCATGATGTTGGCGGCTTGGTCAGAACTTTAGTCGGTGTAAAGAGCCGTTCACGGAGACCCTTCTGCACTTTGCTGTTTTTACTTTTTATCATTTGATGTTGTATGAAAGAAGCCTTAAATCTTCAAAAACAATATGAGTCAGCGGGGTCTCTGCATTTTGGTGCGTTAATATGTGTTTCATACTTTTCATAGCGTATGAAACCATCAAAAAATTTTCTGGTTAGGATATAAATACGATGTTCACAAATTGCTACACGTACAATCCGCCACATTATGGAGTAGTCACTATGGCCAAAGATCTCGAGCAGCTAATTTTGGATCGCTGCGAAGGAATGCCAGCAACAGTGAGTATTTCTGTTTAGGACATCCATACCGTCTTCAACAACTGTTACTCATTCAACCAAGCCGAGGATGACGTGTCTTTGATGTGCCGTAATGTGGAGAATCTCGTACGCGAGAAACTAAAAACCATGCCATCTGAGGTAGTCTCCATGAACTCTTTTAAGAATCTAAGTCAAAAAGGATACCTTCGGCTTGGGAGTATGTAGTGATAGTAAGAAGACGAACAAAGCGACAAACAAAGTGTTATCATCGCGTTGAAATAAGAATTTTTGTTTTCCTTCATTTTTATATTTATATTTTTTGTATTTGCCAGATGATAACACTTCCAAAACATAATATTATACAAAGCTTGCTTTTATTGTGTTTGGTGATGGTTTCTTTTACAGGAAATCGAGATTCCTCGGCCGAAGCGTGGTCCCCAAAAGAGTTCGGCAAAGCGTGCTAGTGGATTGGCAAAGGCAGGATCGAGCAGCTCGAAAGGTTCGGACGACTTGAAGTACCTTGATATGTTCCATAATGCAACTAGAGGTGCGACCGGTAAACTCGATTGCCTTGCATTCGTAAATCGGGATGATATTTAAGCGATAATTGGTAGATAGTAATTTAAAGTTTTAGCGGTCTCTCGAGAATCTTCGATATCCGTCTCTCGACCAGTTCCAAGCCCGTTGGCTCTTGATCATGAAATGCAGAACGTAAGATTGGCTTAGCACTGTATTTATTAGTTTTGATTTAGGCATCAACCTCAGACGTACATGTAGCTGCTCCTGTAGCAAAAAGCAAAGGAGTGAAGCGGAAAGTGGAACCAGTTGCTGCAGAGCCTCCTCCACCAGTAAGTTAAATAAAATTTTTGCCGTTAGAAGGGTAGAAGGAAGCACAAAATTTATTAAAGAATAATCCAATGAATGCTCACTAAAGAAACTTTTATTTTTAGCCACAACCGGCTCGCAAACGACGGAACTACGTGCCTCCTGATTATCCTAGCATGGCTCCAAGATTGAAAGGAAAGTTGTCTGAACAACTGAAAGCCTGCCAAAAGTTACTTGCCGATATCAATTCAAAGAAAAACGCGGTAGATAGTGTTAAAACAATAAATGTTATTCTTGGCTTAGGAATTTAATTGGCCTTTCACAAAACCTGTCGATGTTGAGGCCCTTCAACTTTTTGACTACTACGACAAAATTGATGAACCAATGGACCTCAGCACAATAAAGAAGAAATTTGACTACAAGTGAATAGTGCCTTCTTCTTCAAATTACAAAAAATATTTTAGACAGTATGTTTCGCACGAGGAATTCTTGAGTGACATCGAACTGATGGTTGGAAATTGCCACAAGTACAATCCAAAAGGGGATGCGATCTATGTTTTGGCCACGAAGATGATGAACTACGTGAAGTCAAAATGGCCAACGGTTCTGGCGGCAACTGCGCCAGTCGAAAACGTTGCCCCACAGGAGTTGAAGGTTAATATTTTTAGTCACAAGTTAAAATATCTGATAAAGCTAAAGTATACGTGTTTAAGGTGTCGACTTCGAATGGTGTTGGTGATGAAGATCAGATTGACCACTACAGCACTCAAGTGCAAGAAGAACTGGAGAAAACCCAACGGAGACTCATCGAATTGCAACGAGTCGGACAAGAACTCAGCGAAATTCGCCAGAAGAGATCCGACAACAGGATGTCTGGCAAGCCTCCGATTCCTACACATCTCGTCACCCAATTGCAAGAATTGCTGAATCAAGTGATGGCTACTTCGACAGTCAGCCCAGCAGCTAGGAGTGTTCCAAGAAAAAGCTACCGTGAAGAAAGCCCAATGGATTTTGCGAGGTCACGAGCAAGAACTACTGCCAAACAACCGTCGGTTGATGTGGCCCCACCTCCTCCTGTCAAATCTGGGCGTGGTCGTAAGCCTGGAAGCAAAAATAAGCCGAAGGTTGAGGAGAATGGTCTTCCAAAGAAGGTAAAAGATCATTTTTGATTTGTACATAATGACTATTTAGGAACAATGGCGAACGGAGTACGTTTTTGATAGCGGTGATGAGCACCCGCCAATGTCATACGATGAGAAACGCAATTTGTCACTTGAGATCAACCAATTGCCTGGAGACAAGATTCAAAAAGTCGTCAAAATCATTGAATCGAGGGAAAAGATGGTATGTTTATGTCTGGGTTTAAATAGTTTCTTCTTTTAGGCATACAACCCTGAAGAAATCGAGATCGACTTCGAAACTTTGAAGCCGATCACTCTTCGTGAGTTGGAAGCTTTCATCGCTTGGTGCAAGTCAAGAAACCGTGCCCAGCCCAGTGTCCAGAGGAGACCTCCAGCACCACCAGTACAGCGTGAGTGTTAGCATAATTGCATATTATAATGATTGGTACACAAGGCTTTTACCAAACTGTTCCATGTTTACTACCAAGTAGTAAAAAAATCGAAAAAAAACTAGCATGGATAAAAGGTTTTAGAGTACATAAACCTTGATCTAAAAGATTTTGATGTATTCAGTCCATTAAGTTATTGACTTTCTTGGTTTATGGGAGTTGCCTTAGGATGAACTGAATAAATTTCTTCTTTAGGAGCTCCCAATTTGGCGCCACCACCATCATCGTCAAGTTCTTCTTCAGGGAGTGATTCAAGTTCGGACTCATCGGATTCTGAGTCAGGTTAGAACGATAATGCTCATACTTTAATTAAATTGGTCTACCTCGACAGACTTTAAAATAATATCCCCCGTTTTCCAAATACCTAACCGTGTATTTTCGATCTCTTGTTGATCTCCAATCTTATGTTTATTGATGTTAGCCCGGCGGCCCTCTATGTATAAATAGACACCATTACTCTATACCCTTGGACGTTTTCCATTCTACTCATATAGGTTTTTTGAAAAGAGTAGACTTGCTTTTTCAAAACCACGGAATCTTTATGAGCTATGATGGTGAGAAGTTCAATGGGTAGAGAGTCTTTGTAAATTTTTTCGCTTTGTGCATTTATTAATTTATTTTCCAAATGCTCAGCCATGGATATCTCGGCCTCAATATACGTGTCACTTCTCTTCACTCCGCATATTCCCCTTACCAGAAATTCTTTAGATCCCCTCTTCTCTTTTGCTTTAGAACATTGATTTTCGCTATTTTTGCATTGTTACTTAATTATTAGAATCGTTTGAGTAAATAAATTATTTGTTTAGTATCTTTCAATAAGCAATAAGTTTGTCAGTCAAAGATCTCTGATCGCGTTTAGCATGCAGCACTCCCAAAGAAAAACAAAGTTTTTACAGAACATTTTATAAAAACTAAAACAGAGGAATCACAAGTTGAGAGTCATTAGCTTGCAATTCGCGATCGTGTTTTGTCAGGCTCGATTCTTGCATTTTCATTTTTCTACTCCGTGTTTCCAAATTCGATTTGAGAACGCCCATGATTAGGACCTGTTTAGCTCCAAATTTATTGAATCCAGGCTTCGAGTCACCTTTTAATTCCCTAAGTGTGTTGTGATTGACCCAAATCAACTTTTTAAAAATTAAATCCGTTGAAAGCATATTAATTAGGTTGTTATTAGGTACCCATGGAAAGTGGAAGGGAAATACGTTTGGAAAGCCAGCCGTGCCGAATCAACCGTTGCCGAATGCCGAGGCTGCCAATCATACGAATGGAAAGCCGAAAATGCCGACTCCTCCATCAATTCAGGTTCCCGTAAAGCAGTCGACTTCACCTGTAGAAGTCAAGCCACCGGTTGCAAGAAATCCTTCTCCGCGTGTTCCTGAACCAGCTGGTAATTAATGGTTTCACTTTAATTAAACGTTTTCTTTTAGATCCTGTCCGAGGAATCGTTCATGCTGGTGCTCGACCAATTCTTCAAAACGACAAGCCTGTTCAGGCAGCTGGAATTGGTAATTGGATGATTCTTTATTGTGGTGATTACTATTTTTTAGGAAGTTCAATCATTGATCAACTGTTGCCTGATACAAACGCCAAGAAGAACAATTTGAACACCAAAGAACAATTTGAACATTTCAAGAAGCAACAGAAGGAGAAAGAGGAAAGGGTCAGTGAAAATCAATAGTTAATTAATTATAAAGAGACACAAAGAGTTGCGCCTACACAAGTTGTGATGCCATTTTTAAAAAGAAATGTTAACGCCCGTTTTGAATTGGTAAAAACTTGTGGGAAGCTGAAAGATATTGTAACACTAACAATAAGAAACTTTTTTATATTTGACTTCCTTTAGAAGGCAATGCTTTTGGCCGAAGAGGAGAGACGTCGTAAAGCCAAAGAAACGCAAGCACAGCCACCTCAATTAAGTGCTGAGGAGGAACGTATTCAGGTAGTACTTCTAAGATTTTGTAGATCGCTATTAAAAGATCTTCTGAACTTGCGTAATTAATTTGTTTTATTTAGATGCAACGTTTACGTGAGCAGGAGAAACGGAAGCGTGAAATGATGGGCAATGCAATCGATTTGACTCATCAGATGGAAATTATGAACAACTTCGAGGCCGAATTCTAATCAGATTATCGTCTTCGTCACCTCCATTAAAGCTTTATACATTTGCTATATACAATGTTTTGCCACTTATTTAACGACGATTACAGGTACTCTTTTTCTTAAAAAAGGTTTTTACATTTTGTTGTGTCACTTGTTATCCCCGTCATTGTTCTTCGCAAACCAAACCGTGCTACCTTTTAATTTGAGAAAACCCAAAAATACCTTTTGTAGTTAAGTGTCGTGCCCTTTTTTTCTTTTCTTGATCTCAACTTTTTGGCCGAAAGGCTTTATTTCCTAAAGTTAACGCATAGAAATGCTCAAGTTTTTGTGGTATCTTCAAAAAAGTCTGCAAAAACGGTAGGTTCTCCTCTTTGTCTCTTGATGTTTATGATTCTCCTGTTTTGTTTCGTGAGATTTTGATATTTTATCGGTTTATTGAATGATCAAATTGCTGAAAAATTACCAAAAAACACCATAAACATAGAGATCGGGAATTTACCCCTGGCCGTTGTGATGGCATTTAAAAAGTTTTTATTATTTTTTTCAAGGGAATGTCCGATGATTTTTGTTCGACATCTTTTTTTAACCCATCCCTTGCCTATTTACGATGTTTATGTCGAGAAATTTCCCTATATGTCCCTCTTTCTATTCACACAAATCAGCCCTTTTGTGGTTTGATCATATATGTCTTATCAAACAGTTTTTCCTTTAAACTTTTCATTTGTTGTTAAAGTTGTAGTAATAAATTGTTAAAACGCGGCTCTCGATATGGAAAAAAAGTGCATTATGGAGTAGATTTAACATTCTACCATAATACCTGCAGTATTTGGTTAGTACATATGCTTTAGCCGTCGTTTATAAGTGCATATCTCATATCTGAATTGTCCTTTGTTCGTAACATGCCCAAGTTTAAGATCGATTGGAGCACCTATCGCGTAGGTTTGAGGTTGCTTTTGAGATGGAGTTAATTTTTGGGGTGGGGTCAAAGTTGATATCATGAGGACTATATGAGTATTCCAAATATTCTAAAAATGTTTCGTTTTGCAAAGATTGAAAAATATCTCCCAAACTAAAAATCGCAATAGTCTTTTAAATTCAGAAAAATTTTTTTTCTGATTTGAGTCCAAATCTTTGTGCTAAAAATGTTCCAAACGCTTCGAAAATTTGTCATATCATGAGCAAGTAATGACTCAACATACTCTAAAAATTTGGGGGTGGGACAAATGCACTTTTCTTTTTTTTTGGAAAGGCCTGGGAGCCAAGCTCAAAATATTTCGAAAATTTCCCCTAAGGGGACCCTATGCGTAGATTCGATCGACAAATCAGGCCTCGACACGTCAAATTTGGGCTAAAATGCAAAACTACCAAATTACCTTTTCCGCGTTTTTGCCTTTTAGCCCAAATTTGACCTGTCAGCGAGGTCCGATTTGTCGAAATTCGGAATCTCTACGCATACGATTCCCATATATGGAAAATTTCCCCCCCCCCGCCCAGCCCTCCCCCCAAAAATTTGACTAAATTGGTAAGATGGTCAATGAGTTACGCTTTATATTGCGAATAAGTCGGCCACTCCATGTGCACTAAGCCAATAGTAGTGCCCCCATAATGACGTAGTTACTAAAGTAAATCATTTTTTTGAAAGCGCCTAGATTTTTCTAAAATAAACTGTTAGTACCAAAAATTTTTTCGCCTCAAGCGCTATCTTTTGATATCTAAGCGCACATTTTTCGTCGAAGCAGCGCAGAGAATCGAGCGTCACAAAATTGTATGTTAGACTACGCGACTGTACGGGGGGTATTACGGTAAATTATACCAAACAATTTGTACACTTGGCTGGGAAAATCTTTCGTTCGTGTGTTGCACAGATAAAATTCACATTGAACAGACAAACTAAGCGGAACCCTTTCAAATTTCAAGTCGTAATTTTTTCTCTTCGACATCTTCGTGAATTGGGGGCATTTCTTTTTTTCTCTCTCACTTTAGCTGAAATTGGGGGTGCATATAGATTTTTCTCTCTTTCCACACACAAACACCCATGTCCAAATTTCATCGTATTCTGAAACTTACCCTTTTTCTTCATTCTTGTTTATTTTTTCTTTACCGAGAGTTCATATTTTTCAAAAACCACTTCAGACATGCAACGAATGGACTACGTTTTTGATAGCGATGGCGAGCACGCGCCAATGTCATACGACGAGAAACGCAATTTGTCACTTGAGATCAACCGAATGCCTGGAGACAAGATTCAAAAAGTCGTCGAAATCATTGAATCGAGGGAACGTATGGTGTGCTTATGCTTATGGGTTTAAATAGTTTCTTCTTTTAGGCATACAACCCTGAAGAAATCGAGATCGACTTCGAAACTTTGAAGCCGATCACTCTTCGTGAGTTGGAAGCTTTCAGCGCTTGGTGCCGTGCCCAGCCCAGTGTCCAGAGGAGGCCTCCAGCACCACCAGTACAACGTGAGTGTTAGCATAATTGCATATTACAATGATTGGTACACAAGGCTTTTACCAAACTGCCATGTTTACTACCAAGTAGTAAAAAAGTCGAAAAAAAACTAGCATGGATAAAGGTTTTAGAGTACATAAACCTTGCTCTAAAAGATTTTGACGTAATCAGTCCATTAAGTTATTGGCTTTCTTGGTTTATGGGAGTTGCCTTAGGAGGATGCCTAGGTTACCTGAATAAATTTCTTCTTTAGAAGCTCCTCCGGCGAGTAATTCAAATTCGGACACATCGGATTCTGGTTCAGAATTAGAAAGATAATGCTCATACTTTAATCAAATTGGTTCATTGAATGATCATACTGCTGAAAAATTACCAAAAAAACATCATAAGCATAGAGATCGAAAAATTAGCCCTGACCGTTGTGATTTAAAGAGTTTTTATTATTTTTTTGATGGGAATGCCCGATTATTTTTGTTTAAGGTCTTTTTTTAACCCATCCCTTGTTTATTTGTGATGTTCACTTCGAAAAATTTCCCCTATTTGTCGTCTTTCGATTCACACAAATCAGCCCTTTTGTGGTTTGATCATATATGTTTTATCAAACATCGTTTTTCTTTTAAACTTTTCATTTGTGATTAAAGTTGTGGTAATAAATGGTTAAAACGCGGCTCTCGATATGGAAAAAGTGCATTATGGAGTAAAGATTTGAGATTCTATGATTGAGCGATGAATTACGGTAAATTATACAAAACAAATTGTACACCTGGCTGGGAAAATCTTTCGTTTGGAAGTGTACAATTTGTAATTTGTAGAGATGAAATTCACATTGAACAAATAAACTAAGAAATTATCCTTTTAGCGTTGGCTATAGGCATAATTGGCTGCAATTAACAGCTCTCATGTGAAGAGAAAACATTGAAAACGTACGGTCAGCAGTTCAACTTTCAAATCCCGAAGCTTTTACTCAGTTTTTACATTCCGACACTTGAAGAAGAAGAATGCTTTTGTTGAAACTTTTATGACATTGAAAATTTTTGCAGGACTTCATATTTACTTCGATTTTATAAAGACAAAAACATCTAAATGAAACCCTTTCAAATTTCAAGTCGTAATTTCTCTTCCCCTTTTTTCTCTTCGACATCTTCGTGGATTGGGGGCATTTCTTTTTCTTTCCCTCTCTCATTTCAGCTGAAATTGGGGGTGCATATCGATTTTCTTTCTTTTCTACCCATTTTTTCCTCTCTCTTTCCACACACAAACATCCCCGTCGAAAATGTGTCTCACCGTGTATTTTGAAACTCATCCCTTTTTCTTCATTCTTGTTTATTTGTTCTTTACCGAGAGTCCATATTTTTTGAAAATCCACTTTAAACATTTTACTTACTCAAATATTTTCTGAAATTCTACGAAGATTAAAATACTTTTTTTCTGTCTTTCCGGCTACATTTCTGATTTTTTCGGCTACATTTCTGATAAAAAATCTCAATTTTTTATTGTCTATTTTAGAATGAGACCCTCTAGAGAAAGATTCACGAAATTATTGCTTTTTTTTGGGAGTCTATTTATCGGAACGCTTTGCGTGGCCCCGAAACACGACCCACTCGACACGGCTGCACAAAGAGTGAGTGAAAAGGAAATGGAAAGTAGAAAAAGGGCGGATATTTAGTGATTAAAGGATAAGCGATAAGATGTTTGGATATATTTAGTGATTAAAGGATAAGCGTTTTAAGATGTTTGAATCAATCTGTTAAAAGGTAAACAGGATATCGACAAGAGTTTAGAGAACAACGGGTAAAGTTGTTCGGTGATTGATAATAGCTCTTTTGGGTTAAATATTTCAAAGGATAGTACAGAAACAAGCCTTTAAAGAAAGCCTTTAGCCTTTAAAATATAGTAGAAAGAGAAAATGAGTTTCATTTTTGAGACAAAAGGATTCTGTTGAGAGCTAGCTTGCAAAAAGCTTGCAAAAAGGGGAACTCAAAATTTGAAAGCGCTTATCATAACTGAATTTGTGAGGGGAAAGAGGTGGTGACCGATAGGCTGAAATTGGAAAGTGTTATGAAAGAATGGGCGGGCAGAAATTGGCTGTATCAATAGAATTTGTGATTGCTGTTTGCCATTTACCCCAAAGAAGTATCGATTCTTTGTGTGACTATTGAATATTTTGACTCCAACAAAATTCCTATGTGTTATTGAAGGGGGTAATTCCATAAACCAGCCTGGAAAGAGACACAAATATTTCGATATTCGATGAATTGGCTATAAAACGATTTTCTAATCGAATTTTATATTTCGGAATTTACAATGAAAGCCTCTTACCTGAAATTGACAAAACCGTGGCTTTTAGATCACTACGCACATAAGGTTTTTGAAAAAAATTGGCACTATTACTGAATTAGAAAGCAAAAAATCTGATAACTTACAATTTTCTAAGGTTTTAAGCCTTAAATTGTTTGTTTTACTTGGCTTGGCTTTACTGGCTTGGCTTTACTGGTTTAGCTTTACTGGCTTGGCTTTACTGGATTGGCTTTACTGGATTGGCTTTACTGGCTTGGCTTTACTGACTTGGCTTTACTGGTTTAGCTTTACTGGCTTGGCTTTACTGGATTGGCTTTACTGACTTGGCTTTACTGGTTAGGCTTTACTGGCTTGGCTTTACTGGATTGGCTTTACTGGATTGGCTTTACTGGTTTCTTTACTGTTTAGCTTTACTGGCTTGGCTACTGGTTTAACTTTACTTAGCTTAACTTTACTTGGCTAGGCTTTACTTAGCTTAGCTTTACTTGACTTTACTGGCTCTAAAAACATCTCTTCCAAGAATCATATTGGTTTTAAAGTAAAACATCTTTTAATCTAATCGAATAGTAATAAAAGTTCTTGAACTTTTAAAAATCTATCTATTTCAGAGAGCTGAAGCTTTACATCGATTGGATACATTGATCTTACTGACGTTTATCAGTGTGTTGATCGTCATTGTACTCACCGCATGGCTTTTCAAACACTATCGCTTTCGATTTGTGCACGAGAGTGGATTGACGCTGATTTATGGTAAGTGAAAGGTTGAATTTAAACTGTAAAGAGTAAAAATTCGTCACTGTACTTAAGCCATTGTTTATGAACGCTTTGTGAGACAGGGTTTTAATGAAAGCAACAATAAGTTGACCTTTAGAAAGTTGATGCGGTTCTTTAGAGAAACAAAGTATGAAATTAGTTTTCAATTTTAACTATTTAGGTCTATTGATCGGTTTTTGCATCAAATATTTTGATATCGGGCTCTGGGAGAGTACGACAATCGACGTGGCGCCAACGAATGTCACACTTCAGCTGCGCGAACCACCTGATTACTTGAGGTGAGTAAAAAGAGAAAATAATATAAATACTACAGTTCTTTTCTTATCTATTTTATCTAAGCATCTATTTTAGAAACTATCGTAAACTATCAAGCAAACTATCAAGCTAACTATCAAAACTTAGAAACTCAAGCTAGCAGCTTATCGAGCTCATTTAATTACCCCCGCTATCATTCGTTGGGGAATCTAATAATACCAAAATTGAGCTCAAATGTAGACAGTTTAGTGTTGTTTCTAAAATAGATGTCTTTTAGAAAATAAATTAGTCGAGAAAAACGCCGTCTAGTCGATACTGTAACCGCTGTAATAGCCAAATGAGCGCTTGAAAATAAAACTCTGATTCATTTTGAAGCTTAAAAAGTTATCATTTTATTATTAAATCTTAAAAATGGGGAATAATCAGTAATAGTTTTTCACTTTGATTGATTTCAGTTTAAGATTTTCAACTACTTTAGCTATGAAACTTTTAAGAAAGAATTATAGCTTCAAATGACAGCTATAACGATCTAAATTCAATGACTAAAAACCAATTTAATGTATTTTCCAATAGGTTTTTCTTTGCTTTTTTCTGATTGTTTTTTAATTAAATAATCAGAATTTTTCAACTACTTTAGCTATGAAACTTTTTAGAAAGAATTATAGCTTCAAATGACATCTATAACGATCTAAATTCAACGCCAATCCAATGTATTTTCCAATCGGTTTTTTAGTTTTCCAATTGGTTTTTCTGATTGTTTTTTTAATTAAATAGTCAGAATTCTAGAAATTTTTAGGCTCGAAGTGAAAGAAAAGGAACAATCACAAGCACAAAGTGTTTCCTTTCACTATGAGCTTATCGAGGGATTTTATGCGGATAAACGAAAGAAAGATGAGCAAAAGATCGAGCAAAAGGTTTAATAATAAAGAAAAATTTGAATTTTATAGAATTATAAGTAGAGGTTGTTCTAAAAATTCGGAAAATTGAGAAAATTGAGAAAATTCCGGTTCTTTTGGCCTTTAACCTGATCCAATTTGGTTTTAAAGCCAAAAAAATCTGTGAAACATTTAAAAGCTATTCGTTTTCTCATTTTTGGTCATTCTCCTAAAAATTTGAACTCTTACAAAGTTCTGTTTGTGATTAGAATGTTGTAAAGAAAGCCAAAAAAGTTTAGACAGCCTTCTCACCGGAGATCTTCTTCAACATTCTCCTTCCGCCGATTATTTTCAATGCCGGTTACAGCTTGAAAAAGGTATTTCTTAAAAGTATTGAGATTTAAAGATGTAAATTGATTTTCGGCTTCTAAATCTACAATCGATTTTCTATTTTCTAGAGAAACTTCTTCCGGAATATTGGCAGCATTTTGGCGTTTGTGTTTGTGGGGACGACGGTGTCATGTTTAGTGACTGGGTGAGTTCAAAAATAAAATAAGTAGTTAAAATAATGAGTTAAGTCAATTTTAAATCTACTACTGAAGATTTGTTTATTTCAGAATTTTATTGTTTGTGTTGACGAAGATCTTCGCGATGGGCTTTGCCTTTCAAGAGCTACTTGTCTTTGGCGCCTTGATCTCAGCCACTGATCCAGGTTTGGAAGGGAGTAGCGATTGAAATATTGATAGAGATCTTAATGTTTCATTCGAAAATTGGTAGTTGTAATCTAATATCGTAATCCAATAATAGTTTCAATATGAAACGTAATTCAATAGTTAGCAATTCTTTTCGAATCCAATCATCCAATGAAACTGACATTGTTTACACAAGCATCAAGCACAAGAACTGCTACTGAAATGGTTTAATTTATAAAGCTTATAAATTTCAAAGTATTCAATCAAGTAGTCAAATCTTTTAGTGACTGTTCTTTCCGTATTCACTGAAATGCGAGTCGAGCCAGATCTATTCGCGCTCGTCTTTGGAGAAAGCGCTCTCAACGATGCGGTGGCTATTGTGCTTACAAAGTTTGTCCTCATTGTCAAAATTATCTGAAATCAGATCTACAATCAGATAAACATATATATCTTTGAATATTATCTATAAAATCGAAATCCATTCAGCACAATCGACTCCTTTTCAATGTCAACAGAAACCGTGGACTTGAACGCGCTTCTCGGAGCGGCTCTCAACTTTCTCTATGTTTTTTTCAGTAAGTTCACAAAGTTAAAATGATTTTATATTTGATCTACTCAGGTTCGCTTCTTCTCGGCTCAATTGTCGGATGTTTGACAGCATTGTTGACAAAGTTGACCCATATCGCTGATCATTCTCTCTTAGAGACATCACTCTTCATCCTTTTCTCATACGTCTCATTCTTACTGGCTGAAGTTGTTCAATTAACAGGTTTAAAGCAATAGCAAAGCTAGATTTCAGTTAATCTTTGACTTAAGTTCTAGATTTTTCATTGAAAACCTTTAGGAATTGTTGCCGTGCTTTTCTGTGGGATTTGTCAAGCTCATTACACTTTCAACAACATGAGCGAAGAGTCACGAGCTACAACGAAACAATTTTTCCATGTAAGTTTCAAGTTTATTGATGAAAGATAGAAGATAGCAATGTTTTCTTTCATTTCAGGTGATCTCTTTCCTCTCAGAATCTTTCATCTTCTGCTACATCGGCGTTTCAGTGTTCGTTGCCGGGAATCAAAAGTGGAACTTGCCATTTTTGTTCTTTGCTATGGTAAGGAGAGGTTCAATTTTGAGTATTCATCAAAATTCAAATAGCAAATAGAAAAGAAAAATAATTTAAACGTTTTCAGATCGCAATCTGGATCGCTCGCGCCGTATTCGTTTACCCATTGTGCGCTTTTTTAAATCTAAAGCGACGACCTCGTATCGCTAAAAACTATCAACATATGATTGTCTTCTCAGGTAGTGATATCAAAAATCTATATCTAAAATTTATTTAAAGTAAATAACAAATAATTGTAGTAACAAAGGTATAGTGAGCTCTGTAGCTTTTCTGTAGCTGAGCTCTGTAGCTCTGTAGCTGAGCTCTGTAGCTCTGTAGCTGAGCTCTGTAGCTTGTAGCTGAGCTCTGTAGCTGAGCTCTGTAGCTCTGTAGCTGAGCTCTGTAGCTGAGCTCTGTAGCTGAGCTCTGTAGCTCTGTGTGAGCTCTGTAGCTTTTCAAACGCTAATGATTTTCCAGGACTTCGTGGAGCGATGGCTTTCGCTTTAGCCGATCGGAACACAGCAACCGAGAATAAACAGGTCTAAAAATTGAAAAATAAATATAATCTTTAAAGTTTTCAGATAATTTGTGCAACTACTGTGGCAATTGTTGTAATGACTGTTTTATTTAATGGCGGACTTTCGAATTGGATGATTGAGAAATTGGGGATTAAACACGGCGATCAAATCCCTAATGAGTACTCGTTGCCAAGAACGGTGAGTGAGAAGCTGGGATGGGTAGAGAAAGATAGAAATATAGGAATAGCTGGAATGAATCTAGAAATATAGAAGCTCAGTTTCAAATCAACTTTCAGGATTCGGCTGGAGAAGAAAGAGAGATGATCGAACCGGTGACTACTCCGACTTCATCAGGGCAAAACCCATGGGATAAAGCGTTTTTGCCACGGAAATGGTACAACTTTGATGCCAAGTGAGTAAAGGAAAGGAATTTGAATTAATAGATACCGTAAATACTGTAATAGTACCCCACCCCCATAATGAAGGTGCGGAGCGTTGCGTAGCCTAGCTTTGGACGAGTTTTCCTGGACACTGGTTTATGCTACAATGCGCGCTTAGGTATCAAAAAATAGCCCTGAATTTCAGCTATTTTTTGATACCAAAGACACATTTTTTGAAAGTACGGGTGCTTTGAAAAAATGAAATACTAAAAAACTTTTGCGACTACGCGACTGTATGAGGGGGGTGGGGTCCAATTACAATTATTTACGGTAACTTAAAAGATAAATTAATAGATAACTTAAAAGATAAATCAATAGATAACTTAAAAGATGAATTTGTTAAATCTTCATAGGGATTCATAGTTGAATTCCAAGTAATCATAGCGCTCTTTATTACAAATTCTGACTATTTCCTATATTATATTTCGATGTGAAGACTTCAAATTTGTCGAATTGTTAATCATTTGCGCAATTCAGTTTCATGAAACCTTTGTTGACGCACGCTAATCCGAGTCTCATGGACACAATGCCCCCATTCACATGGCCGATTGCTAAATTCTTCACATCGGATCGACAAATGGCTGGTGGATCATTGTAGTTCTAGAGATTATCTAGAGATTATCTACTCGTATCTAAAAGATGAATAATTTGGAAAGCTACCGTAATGTTTCCTTCACTTTTCCTGATCTCTTTAATCATTATCTAACTCGATCTAATTGTTGGATCAATGAATAGGTTAATGAAGAGATAATGAAGAGATCAGTGAAGAGATCAATGAAGAGATCAAAGAGAGATCAATGAGATCAATGAAGAGTTACGGCACCTTTCCAAGTTTGTTATGTTATGTTCTATTCTACGGTTGTATATCTTTTGTTCACTCTTTTATGTACCTTTGGCTACTGTGATCTCAAAGAGTTGCCATGACGATCTAGTCTCGTAGTTGAGTCTGCAAAAAGTTTGATGAGGCTTAAACTTCTTCACTTGCTCCAAGAAAAACAAATGCTACAGTGCAATTTCTCTTCTAGTGACTTTTTTCGATGTGCTTTTTATTCTTGGTGCCAACGCCACTAAAATCAATGTCCTGTGCTGTGATCAATTTTTAAATATTCCATGCTTTTTTCTCTGTATCTCTTCAAAGAGATCTTTCATTCCGGTGTTTTTTTTGGAAATGAATTTATTTCGCTTTACATTCAAATCATTACAATAAATCTTAATTTCTATATTTTGGGTGTTTGACAAGACCAATGTCGAGGAAGGAGAGCATCAAGAAATGAGGAATTTCTTGGGGCACAGTGACCCCGTCTCGCATACCATTCTTGTCCATAGAAAGCCACAAACATACCCGTGCCTGAATCTCATTCAATTTTTAGATGTAATCATTTAACACTGAATTTTATTAAGTAAACTATTAAGACTTTAAGATATTTAGGCTTTTCAGATGAATGATTCACAAAACACTGATTGTCTAGTGGTAAATATAGAGCTAGCTGTTACAATTACAGCCAATAGCTGTTACAATTACAGCCAATAGCTGTATAAAAGCTAAACTGGTTAAACTAGTCACCCGGAATCGATCAACGGGCACGAGAAGCACAGGGTAAGAGATCAGATCCAAGTCTAGATCTTGCTTCTGGTGATTCCAGAGACTTTTTATGGGGAAAGCCTTGCATTAAAGCCATTTCAGCAGTCTTGATTAGCTCACTCACCAATGAGAAGATTGAACCAAAGTGCTGTATTCCATACGTGACGATTCGTGATTGTTCGAGAGACAAAGAAGAATACGCCTGTTAAGAATAGCAAAAGTTGTTTTTGATCTTATGAATAAGATAAGAATCTTCTTATAAAATAAAATCTAAGAAAAAAAAGGCCGAAGATCTTTTGAAAAGTCACCTCCAAAAACAAAGTAGAGTAGAAACATGACAGGATAGAAGCATCGAAAAGCTACCCCAAACCAGTACTCATGAAAGACAGAGGAGAGGAAAAAGACGCACATTTGTGCAATCAATTTCCCTCTTTTTCCACCAATTAGCTAAAGATTTTTTGAACATATTAGATAGAATTTCTTTTTTTTTTTGGCAAACTTACAACAGCTATATCTCTATAAACGTAATTGTAGAGCCAATCATGCACAACTAGGTTCCAATTTCGATAATATTCAGCCATATTGTTCGAGTTCCACCAATTCTACATTGAAAATTTATATACCGTATTTTCTCTAATAGTAGTGCACTCCGGAGACTATTTTACGGTTTCCAAGCTTTCCCAGAAGCTCAACACTCAAATCCCCCACAAGATCTCATCGTCAGCTACATTTTCCGACCCCACATCGATAGGTTCTGATAAGCGGTTCTCGAGATTTCGAGGAATTTAGGCGACGCTCAGGGTGCACTACTATTAGAGAAAATACGGTAATAAAAGCTTTTATTAACATGTTATCATCACTTTTATAGTAGAAATTTGAAAGCATACGTCATAAAAGTGTCGATCTGCATAGGTGAGAATTTCTGAGAACAGATTAAGCCATGAGTGAAGGAGACCGTAAAAGAGTGAAATTAGACAGATCACTCCGGGGAGAATCGAGGAAAAAAGGTGGAGAAGGGATGTGGAGAATGCGGCATTCGGGTACTAAATCGTTGAGACTTTTCACTAATTCGAGCACAGATTGAACTATTGGGTTGGTGAATTGAAAACTGCGGGACTTTGAACGAAAATTTATTGAACATAAAACCATGAATTCATTCGAAATAATTTCCATTATTATTGACGACTTCTGCCCATTTTACAGGCAATTTGCGGATTCCTCTTTCGTAGTAGGATTTTGGTTTTGAATCGAAAAATTTTCAAAGCCAATTTTTGAATGCTTCTTCCGAATCGAAGTGTTCTCCCGCAAGCTCATTACTCATGATCCGGAATCAATAGTAATCAAAAGGGGAGAGGTCCGGACTGTATGGGGAATGCGCCAAAAGTTCCCAAACAAGGCTATTTATTCTAGAGCGAGTCAGTTTTGCAATATTGTCGTGGATGAGAACGATCTTTGACTTGGAGGGCCTATTCTTCTTCAGGGATTCATTCACCTTTCCCAACTGTCCACTGTATTTGATTGCATTAACGGTCGTCTTGCTATCCAGCAACTCCCAGTACAAGTGTCTGAGACAAGTGTGAGACTCAAAAATGGGGAACTGGAGAGGTCCCAATGTCCCAGTTTGAGCACTTTCTTCAAAAGAAACCCATTTTGGTGTCAATACAAAAGTTGTAGAGAATCAAAAATTAGGCTTATAGCCAAATTTCCAAAAAGATACACTTAGTAGTTCCGCTTAAAATGCAAATTTTGTGAAAGTTTCGTAAATTTGGCATATCTTGAAAACCAGTTTTTGAATCGTTCTGAGAATTTGGATATAAGCTTGATTTTTGATTCTCTACAACTTTTCCATTGACACCAAAATGGGTTTCTTTTGAAGAAAGTGTTCAAACTGTCACATATGACAATAGCCCGCAGTTTTCAATTCACCAAACCAATAGTTCAAATTAGCCTTGATTTGCGGAGAAGTCAATGTCCAACTTGAAGATTCGGACCCGGACAGATTCGTTTGGCAAAGGAAGAGGGAAGGGACTTATGTAAAAGTCCTGCGCCAGACGACGAGCGATTTCGCGGCCGCACAAAGAATACACAGAACACACAAATTTTAAGCGGAACTACTAAGTGTATCTTTTTGGAAATTTGGATATAAGCTTGATTTTTGATTCTCTACAACTTTTCCATTGACACCAAAATGGGTTTCTTTTGAAGAAAGTGTTCAAACTGTCACATATTTGTCACAGCCCGCCGTTTTCAATTCACCAATCCAATAGAACGTGCAACTTGCCTCTAATTTTTGCTAACTTACATCAATCCCCGAAAGAGCTGGCTCAACCCATTGAGTGAAAACGAGATTCACGAATTCGATTAACAGCAAACAGTGCACGAAATGGAAACCAGCTTTTCGCCAATCGCTTTTCTCAGTTCTTAAACGATTTGAAACGATTTTGACTTAAACAATTAGTCAGCTTAAACCTTGGATATTCATCTCGATAGATGAATGATGGACAAAATTGATAGTACAGGAATTGCTCGACCGATGGCCAATCGATGCTTGACTCTCCTGGCTGCAATAGAAATACCAATTAGTAAATAAATATCTAATAGTAAGCACTATTCTTTAAAACACTCACTTTAGCCCCAACAATGCACATTTTCTTCTCAATTCCTCTAGGGACATTCTCCCTAACAAATGCGTAGATTTTCATTGCCAATCTTGTCTAAAAAGTGAGTTAAATGAATTTTTAGATCTAGAAAACGAAAATTTCTTCAACTTACCGTTTCACAAGTGATAATAAATGAACAAGCACAGTTGAGCTCGGCTGCGAAGAGGAATCGCAATGGGAAATAGAATAAGGAGAATAGATAAGCTGAGAGAGCGAGAAGCCATGGGGTGGATGAGGGAACGGTAACTTTCTAAAGGTCAGAGTTTGTTTATCCAGTGAAATCTCGGAATGTATCCAAAGAATTTGCTCACTATTGTGTTCAGATGGAGGATTTGAAAAGAAGTGAAGGAATTAGGAAGAAAAAGTAGAGATCTGGAGAGGGGATTGAAACCTTGACCTTTTGCTGTCCAATTGCTCTAACCAGTGAGCTACTTTAGCTCGGCAAGAGAAAGAAAGGAAGTGAAGGAGGAAGAAGAAATCGATCGTTAATGAGTTCGAGAGTAGTTACCGTAAATACTTTAATTGAACGACATGCTGTTCTATTTCCTGTTCTATTTCCCCTCCTCTACCCTGCCGTTACAGTACGGCAGCTATTCCATTAATAAAGAATTCTATTGGACTTGTTTGGGAAAAAGCCTTACAAGGGCAACTCACCTTTTCCGGGACATTCGCCCACAACTTCAGTCCCACATATGGGATCAACGTTGAGCCAAACATCAATCCCCAAACAGCCATCGTTTGAGGGAATTTTGAGAAATTCCACCAAATTAACCATGTGTGATGAAAAGGTCTAATGTTATTTGAATAAAATTGTCATTTTATTTCTACTTTACAATCCATACGTGAAAATATCATCGATAAGAGCTCGAAGGAAAAACAAAACGAAAACACCGGCGCTGAAGTTGTAAACGATCGACATTTCGGTTTGTGTGAAGAGATGGCTAAAAGATTGGGAAAGTATTTTCAATATTTTTAAACATAAAATCACTTTCTAAATCTAATAACATTCTTGTAATTGAAAGAAAGCTAAAATCGAATCTTTTTTACAAAATTTTAAAAGTTTTGTCTACTTTTAGCTAATATTTTAAATTAATTAGTTAGTTACCGTATTTCTTCGAATAGAAGACCGGGTAAAGAGTATGATCGCGTACTCCTGCGTAGAAGCCCTTTCTAAAATTTCTTTTCTGCATAAAAGCTTTCAATCAAGTGCTATAGAGCTGAAAAATGGCTCAAAAATCTGTTAGCTCATATGGTATTTTTGAGTCATTTTTCAGCTCTATAGCACTTCATTGAAAGCTTTTATGCAGAAAAGAAATTTTAGAAAGAGCTTCTACGCAGGAGTACGCGATCATACTCTTTACCCGGTCTTCTATTCGAAGAAATACGGTAATTAAAATAGATTAAATTAAACTCACGTCAACATGGACTCTCTTGGATGAAATGTCTTCTCTTTATATTTTGATTGATGCCTTTCATTTGATAGTAATTTAGCTAAAACAAAAGCTAAAACATTTCTCTAGAAAATTCAAATTTCTTACCTTCATTATTGTTTTCTTCTAATTTATTGATGTTTAGAGGATGAGTGTCCATTGGGGTTTTTCTTTTGGAAAAGGAGAAACTCGTTGATATCGTCAATTTGGGATGATAAAGAGCCTTGAACTTTTTTTTTTGAGTTGATCTAGATAGGAAAAAAAGTGAAAATTACAAGATTGATAATTTTCCAATTATAAGAACAAGTTTGCTTGGATTGAAATACGAGAAAAAGAAAAGCTTGATGAACTGGGGTTTTCTGAATGGAAAAGCCAAAGCCAAGATAAGCTTTAAGTCTCTTTCCAGCTCTCTTTATGCTTTAAATGATAAATATAAGGGTGGTAAACTTGCGCAAGGAAATCTATAAATGAGAATCGAATCAAGCCTTGAAGAAGTAGAAAAGAGCTCAGAGAACTCAGAATGGTTATGTTAAAATAGGTAGCGATTTAGATAGCGAACCTGACTCCGACTCTGAACACAAAAAATCGATTCAGATCTAAAAATGAGAGAAAGGAGTCCGGTCTTGAAAGAATTTGAAAGGGGAATTGAAAATGGAAAAGAACGAGGGATCCGCTCATGGATCCATTCGGGTAGGGAAGGGAGGAAGGGAGGAAGGGAGGAAGGGAGGAAGGGAAATGCGGTCATCCTCTTCTTTTCTCCTCTCTCTTCTCCTCTCTCTTCTCCTCTCTTTTCCATGTCTATTTCAAATCTTTCTAGATTCAGGATTTTAAGAGAAATCTTATCCATTTAAGTTAAAAAAGCTGGCTTTTAATGAATCTTTTTTGGAGCTTTAAAGCTTGAATTTGATTGAAAACCTCTGAATTTCTGTTACTAAAAACTGAATCAATGAAGTTTACGTAATTTGGAGATCGTTTTTATAAAAAGATTAGAATATGGGCTATAAGATTTGAAAGATTTGGTGACAAGTTAATTAGGATTTAGCATTAGATCCATATTAAAGTTGTTTAGCGTTGTTTTCATCAGAAAAAGTTCATTATGTCAAAATTATGTCCGCTACTGTATTAGATAGAATTTTTTGGCAAGCTAACAACAGCAATATCTCTATACACGTAATTGTAGAGCCAATCATGCAGCCAATCATCATCATGAACTATTCTTTTTTTGTTTTAATTAAGTTTTTTTCAACTTTATCTTTATTTTATCTTTACTTTATCTTACTTTATCTTTAACTTTATCATACTTTTGTATAACAGATAGTTGTATAGATAGTTGAATGCTCGTTAGCTTGTTCGATGCTCGTTAAAGTCTAATCAATCTCTTTGTCTGCACGTGACTCTCTTTCCTTTCCCCAATCAGCTGTTTATTTGCTCTTTTCCTGACTTTGAATCGATTCTCTTGTCTGTCAAACTCTTAACTTTTATTTCAATTCCAGTTTTGAGGAACTATTTCTATATTCCAAAATCTCGATGCTTTCCTTCAATCATTTCCCGATAGAACTTCAATATTCTATCTTTGAAAAGATTTCAATTAATGAAACTTTAAAATTATTGAAAGTAAACAAGCAACTTTCTAATAAAGTTGTGATAAATTTCTTGAAATTAAAGAAACTTTCAGAAATTTCTCTAGAAATTTTCGGAAAAAGCGCGGATAATCGAGAGTGTGAGCCGTATTTTATCGATTTTATTGTTTTGATAAAAAAGACAAATGATGAGGCAATAAAATTCGAATATAGAGCGAATGAAGATTGTCTGAAGATTGATGGAATCAAATATTCCATGAAGAAAAGCTTTCTTTTGTCAATAATCAACAGAATCGATTGCTGTTCAATGGTAAAGATTGTCCTAAACGATCGTCTTCTCTACCAGAAATGGGATTTCGAAAAAGAGATTACTCGATTTTTTCAGAGTAATCTTTCCATAATGTTAAAAGTTCGTGAATTGAAAGTTTCCTCGAATTTCTCTTATCTTAAAATCATCTTTACTTATTTAAATCTAAAAATTTTGAATAAATGTTCAATAAATATTACTGGAAAACGTTATAATGATTTACCAAAGGAATATTTTTTGAAAAATCCGATTTTTAATGATTGTCAAAGATTTACTCTTGATGGTTGTTTATAAAAAGTTTAAAGATTTGGTGACAAGTTAATTAGGATTTAGGATTAGATCCAGAAGGGAGGGAAGGGAAATGCGGTCATCCCCTTCTTTTCTCCTCTCTCTTCTCTCTCTCTCTCTCTCTTCTCCTCTCTCTTCTCCTCTATCTTCCCCTCTCTCTTCTCCTCTCTCTTCTCCTCTCTCTTCTCCTCTCTCTTCTCCTCTCTCTTCTCCTCGCTTTTCCATGTCTATTTTGAAAAACCCGATTTTTAATGATTGTCAAAGATTTACTCTTGATGGTTGTTTATAAAAAGTTTAAAGATTTCAATTTTTCATTTCAAATTTTGAAACAACCTAATCTTGCTTGCTTTGTTGCCAGTGTTCTTTGTGCTTTAAAGTATTATATTTATAAGTTTTTTGATGTTTTCTGGAAATAAACTTTTGGTCTATTTCAATCATAAAAGTACATAAACATTAACACAAAAGATAATGAGTGATTTCCTGAGTTGGATCTCTTGGAGCTGAACTCTTGCAAGATCAAGCGCAAAATGCCACTTTAATTCACAGCTTTACGATTCTCTTTTTCTAAAGCACTTTTAAAGCTATTTCTTGCATTTTGGCTTGTCAAATTCTTTGAGATTTCTTTTGAATTGATGCTTTTAAGAATCAATTCCTTTTAGAATCAATTCTTTTTAGAATCAATTCTTCTTAGAAGAAAATGGGTACCGTATTTCCTCTAATAGTAGCGCCTGAGCGACGCCTTTTAGAATCAATTCTTTTAGAATCAATTCCTTTTAATTCTAGTCAGTTTTTATTAGCTAAACATTGCAAATTTTATTTAGCTTCATTTGATTAACAAAATATAAGTGAAGAAATAGAGGAAAAAGAAAAGATATTAGATTTAAACACGTAAAGAAAGAAACCCGATAAAGAAAAACACAAATTCTGGATTATCTTGAGATCAAAAAAATTGATATGAGGGGAATGATTATCAAGAAGTGAAATTTGTTTTCATCATTACTTTTCATTTTATTTCTGTTCAATCATTGCTTTCGTTTCCTCCATTTTCACATCAATCACATTGGCTTTGTGCTCTAGAAGCTCTCGATTGAAACTTATAATATAAAAGGATTGATTTTAATCAATTAATCTAAATTTTCACCTGTTTCCATTTTGCATTTTTCCATATCATTATTAATTGTAAAAGAGGCAGCTAGAAAGAGAAAAGCTGAAATAAAAAGAATAAAAATGACAAGGGAGAGAGAATGAATGAGTGAGGACATATGATCGCTTGGGGACATTGATTTACGTAGATAGTCGGATGCCTAGAAATGTTTTTTATCAAGTCAAAATAACTTTGTATTACCATTCCAATAATATACGGGCCACATGAGTCACCAAAAGCGTGCGAGAAGAAGATTTGCCATGATGAAGCAGCGTTACGTCTGAAAATTTTGACTTTAAATGATTACAGTAAATGCTAAACGATAAGTAGTAATCATTTTACCTGTAAGGTGCTACCACGGAGTAGGTCAGCGTCACAATAATAGCCCAATTGAAAGAAAGACCAGTGACAGCGATCAAGAGAAACAACTAAAAGAAACTCTGCTTTATGTCATGATTAGTGCTTAACGAGTTTGGGCAAAATTTTCGCTATTCGATTTTCTTTTACTGCCCATAAGCTCCTTCACCGTAAGCCCTTATTTTAAGCTTTATTTTGATACTAAACATAACTAGATTCTGTTTTGTCATTCTTTAGATTTCGAGCATTTTAAATAAAATAAAATTTTCAGACAGTCTGCCTAGCTCTTCGCCTAGCTCTTCGATTTTGTTTACTGCCCATAGCTTCTCTGAGAATGAAATCCAGTTCCCCGTAAGCCCTTATTCTAGGCTTCATTTTGATACTAAACATGACTAGATTCTGTTTTGTCATTCTTTAGATTTCGAGCATTTTAAATAAAATAAAATTTTCAGACAGCTCTTCGCCTAGCTCTTCGATTTTTTACTACCAAACGCTCCGTCAAGCATGAAGCCCAGTTCCCCCACAAGCCCTTATTTTAAGCTTCATTTTGATACTAAACATGGCTAAGTTCTGTTTTGTCATTCTTTAGATTTCGATCAATCTTTCGGCAGACTCGATGAGCTTAACGAGCCCAGAAAAAGTCTTATCTAAAATGATCGAAATCTAAAGAATAGCACACAGAATCTAGGCATATTTATTATCAAAATGAAGCTTAAAATAAGGGCTTACGGGAGAATTGGATTTCATTCTCAAAGAAGCTATGAGCAGTAAAAAAATCAAAGAGTGAAGACTGTCTGAAAAATTTGCCCGAACTCGTTAAGCAATTCGTAATTGAAAATGATTTATAAAGATACTTGTTATTGTTGAAAAAAAAAGTAGCGAAAACTTTTCTTACATAACACTTATATAAATCCATTGCCATATAGTAAAAAGCCATGATAAAAGCTCCGGCTGAAAGACTTGCACCCAAAAAGCACACAAATGGATCTGATTGTCGCATTGGGGGAATGATCTTCAGCGTTCCTCGTCGAAGTGCCTAAAATTCAAATAATGATTTTTCGATTGGCGGCTCAAGCTGGCTATTGACTTAAGCAAGCTGGCTATTGGCTTAAGCAAGCTGGCTCTTGGCTTAAGCAAGCTGGCTATTGACTTAAGCAAGCTGGCTATTGGCTTAAGCTTTTTGTTTTTTAAAATAATATTCATCAATTAGCCGATGATTCCCCTAATAAAAAGTCTTTTTTCGTCATTTTCCTATCTTTTTAGGTCAATTTTTCGTTTACTCGAGAGTTAAAACACTATAAAAAAATTTCGCTTCACTTTCAAGCAAATTCGGCAGTGAAAACGTGTTAAAAATCTATAAAAACCCCCTACGAAGAAATTGAATGAATGAATTTCTCGAAAAATTTAGCTATATACCTAACTTTTTATGCTCTACCTTTCATCTATTGACACAAAGATTGGTTTCTTTAGCTAAAGTCTCTAAATCGCATCAGCGAGCCGCCTTTTTCACTATCTGACTTCATGCCTCCAAAAATCTAGACATAAAACATTTTAAACCCATTTTAATATTAGTTTGCTTTTGCAGAAAAATAATTGATCTTTCTAATGAAATAAACCATAGTTTAATTGATACATTTGTTGGTTTTAAATGGAACGAAAAGGAACAAAAAGACTTTCTGGACAGTTTCATATACAGACACTAAAACGTTTCAACTTTCGAAAACTATCGTAATCTTATTTCTCTTTTGATTCAATATATCTATTATTCTATTTGATTCTTAGAATTCATAAAAAGTAGAGGGATTGGAGAAAGAAAGAAAGAGAGAAAGAAAGAGAGAAAGAAAGAAAGGAAAGAAAGAAAGGAAAGAAAGAAAGGAAAGAAAGAAAGGAAAGAAAGGAAGAAAGAAAGAGGAATTGGAGAAAGAAAGAAAGAAAGAATGAAAGAAACAGCTATTAGTCTATTATTCTGTTTGTTTCTTAGAATTCATAAAAAGTAGAGGGATTGGAGAAAGAAAGAATGAATGAATGAAAGAAAGAAAGAGAGAAAGAAAGAGATTGGCCAAACCTTTTGTCTTGTTTCGTTATTAAGTTTATTTTGCTACTCCGAAGTCCTTGAATCTCACCTCCGATAGCAGCGATCCAATGACAACACCAACAAGTCCTCCAAGGCAAGAAATCGAGCCGAATGTCATATTTACTCTAAAGTTTTAAAATAACCAAAATCTGTAGCTAGAATTTGATTTTAAATTACTAAAAGAATCAAGAAAATGTAAAGATTTTTGAAAACCCACTGATCTCGATGTTCCGATGATAAATCATCTGTTGTGGTGTGATTCAAGCGAGCTGCCTGAATGTTTTTCAAATAATATTAACTTTCGCATACAAATAACAATTAAAATTTGAAAGAAGAACCGACTTCAGAATGCAAAACTGCTGTAGGTAGCCACCAAGCGGTTGTCCCAGCCACGAAAACCATTCCAGTATACCCCATTGTAGAGAGGACAAATGTGAAACTGAAATTTCAGCTTCTAGAAGCTAGATTAGATAGCTAGAATAGCTAGATTTAAATCTAAAACTTTCAGAATCCAATTCAACTTTATTACTTTGTGATTAGAGTCCAAAAAGTGGCTCTTGGACTTCGATCTATTTTCCCATTAATTTCTTCGAACTCGTTAGCGCCTCGCTCTGGATCCACGAGAAGCAGAAAGCCGACAATCACAAATATTGTGCCTATAAAAGAATCGAATCTTATCTTCTTTATCTTGATCATAGACTTTAATATCCTAATTTTTCTCACCAATAGCTGGCGTCAAGCGGATCGCATATTGCCATTGATTAAAATATGACGCCAAAGCTGACCCAATCATATATCCAACTCCACTAAAAGAAAATCAAAATCTAAAGCACCAGAATTTCGTTTCATTTTCAGGGCTTTTTTTTATTTGTTTACCGTTTTCTAAAAGGTTTAAATTATCAAATTTGAAGTTACTGAATCTTTTCAGCTAAACAATAGGTTTCTAAATCTACTCAATAAAGCAAAAAAGACGTCTGTCCGTCCGTCTGTTTGTGTGCAAACGCGATGCTCCGTAATTACGGTAAAAATGGACGTAACCGAGATTGCGTGAATAACGCGAACGTTAGCCAGCGATTCAGGAAAACGCTTCAGGAAAACGCGAACGTTAGTCAGCGTTTACTGCTTGTTATCTAGTTTACTGCTTGTTAGCTAGTCAGCGTTTACTGCTTGTTATCTAGTTTACTGCTTGTTAGCTAGTCAGCGTTTACTGCTTGTTAGTTAGATTTAAAAAAACCCATTACCTTAAAATCCAAATCATTTCAGCTATCAGACAATAAATCCTCAGTTTTCAATAAAGCAATTTGAGAACTCACGCTCCAAGTGGAACAGCAAAGCAAAAGATCATATAGATCATCGAACGAGTTGTACTCGAGAATAGATCAGCAATCACTGATAAAGAGATGCAACTGAAAATAAATCGCATCTTTCAAACTTGAACAATCAATTTTCACACCTAAAAGCCGCCATTCCAATGCCCACAATTCCACGGAGAACTACGAAAAGCCAAAACATCTGTAAAGATTGTTTACGGAGTTTAAAACTTAAAAAAAACCGTGCTCGGAATAAAGGATGAAGCAAAGAGTGAAATACTCCATAAACTAATCCCAATCAGCATTATTGATTTACGATTGTATCTGAAATCTTGCTTAGACAATGGCTTAGGTTTTATCAGATTTTATCCTAAGCGTGAGCCTAAAAAAACCACTTTCTATATATCAACTTCCAGACACGACAACTACCTAAAAATTTGCCAGGATGCTCCTAGCATCGCCAAGCGGGTGTACCTTAGCTCCGGGAACTGGCTGAGATCCAGAAAATGGGGGTTGAGCCCAAACCCAAATAGACTTAGTGCGAGGCGCTAGCCGCTAGCCTTCGCGCTAAGTCCAAGCCTAAACCTGAGCCTGAGCCTAAGCCTGAGCATAACCTAACCCCAATCAGCATTATTGCTTTACGATTGTATCTAAAATCTTGCTTAGACAATGGTTTAGGTTTTATCAGATTTTATCCTAAGCCTAAGCCTAAACCTGAGCCTGAGCCTAAGCCTAAGCCTAAGCCTGAGCATAAACTAATCCCAATCAGCATTATTGCTTTACGATCGTATCTGAAATCTTGCTTAGACAATGGCTTAGATTTTATCAGATTTGATTCCGATTTTTCTGTGAACTAACCGATCTCCTAAATGCCCAAATGCACTGGCAATCATAAAGAAAATGATGAAAATTGTTTGTAAAAGACCGCCACCAGTATCTCCCAATGAGAAATACTTTTGCACATCGGTGAGTACACCTGAAAGTTTAAGAATAATAAATAATAGTTTAAGTGCTAGTTGATAGTTTGATAGTTTAATAGTTTAGAATAGTTTAAGAATTAAGTTTAAGATAGTTTAAGATGATAGTTTAAGAATATTAAAGAATAGTTTAAGTGTTAGTTGATAGTTTGATAGTTTAGAATAGTTTAGAATAGTTTAAGCTCGTTTAAGATGATCGTTTAAGAATAATAATAAAAAGAATTTGCTTAAGCTAGACAAGTTTTTTGTGCTTAAAAATCGAATAGGAATAAATCTCATTTCATTTAGTTTATATTTAAAGACAACTGATTGCACAGTGCACCAGAAATGGTGTGTTTACAATTTTAAGCAAATCTTTTATCGCTTACTTGGTAGAGTGAAACGATCGATGTAATTGAGAATATTGGTAATGATTAAAAAGACAGCACAACCCGATCGTCGACCGAGTGAATGCCTTTGCATTGACTGAATATCATTCTATAGAAAAAGAACAAAAAGAAAGACTTCTTCTAAACAAGAAAATTCTAAAATCATAGTTTAATTAGAATTGAAAAAAAACGCTAAAACTTTATTGCATCACTGAATTACGATAGAAATTCTTACAGGATGTCTATAAAAATATGTTGATTTAAACTTGAAACAAACACAATCGTAGATAATGAAATGAAGAGGAGAAAAGAAAGAAGAAAGAGAAGAAGAAAGAAGAAAGAATAGAAAGAAGAAAGAATAGAAAGATGAAAGAAGAGAAAGAAGAAAGAAGAAAGAAAAGAAGAAAGAATAGAAAGAAGAAAGACTAGAAAGAAGGAAGAATAGAAAGAAAAGGAAGAAGAGAAGAAAAGAAAGATAGAAAAGAAGTCCTTTTCACTATAAAGATACAATTTGCTTACTGAAAAAAGATAAGAAAGTGTTCAAAGAATAAAAATGAACAGTTTAATGTTTTGATTTGAAAGGTTTTTAATTGAAAAATATAAAATCTAGAGTGAAATGTGAAATGTGAAATGTTATAGGATGGGGGACATGTGTGAACACTTTTTCTCAGCTGGCTGGTCAACAATCCACGCACACACTAGGCAAAAGAAGGGGGCAAATCGATGGTCGACATGGGGGAATATGAAAAGGAATGGAAAGGAATGGAAAGGAATGGAAAGGAATGGAAAGGAATGGAAAGGAATGGAAAGGAATGGAAAGGAATGGAAAGGAATGGAAAGGAATGGAAAGGAATGGAAAGGAATGGAAAGGAATGGAAAGGAATGGAAAGGAATGGAAAGGAATGGAAAGGAATGGAAAGGAATGGAAAGGAATGGAAAGGAATGGAAAGGAATGGAAAGGAATGGAAAGGAATGGAAAGGAATGGAAAGGAATGGAAAGGAATGGAAAGGAATGGAAAGGAATGGAAAGGAATGGAAAGGAATGGAAAGGAATGGAAAGGAATGGAAAGGAATGGAAAGGAATAGGAAGAGAGCAATAGGAAGAGAGCAATAGGAAGAGAGCAATAGGAAGAGAGCAATAGGAAGAGAGCAATAGGAAGCGAGGAACACCCTCTCTTTCCATCTCTCTTTCAATATGAATATGGAAGAAGAGGAAAGAGTTGACCAGAGATTACTCGACGATTGAACCTTACTAATAAAAACCAGAGTAGAGAATGGGTATGCTTGATGACTGCTTAAGAAATCTCTGTAAGACCAACTATACAATTGCTGGCCAATGATTTTTGTCAGCTGTTTACATTCCCAAGAATTCTATTCTTTATCTATTTGCACGTGAATAGAAAGTTAATGACTTGAAGAATACGGGAATCGAACCTTTCGTGATTTGGTTCGATCTGGAATCGAGTTTATGTCTAGTAAGTAAAGTAATGGACTTAAAGCAGTAAAAGAATTAACTTGAGTACTTAAGTATCAGGTTGAACAATAAGAATTTTGGTAATCGAATGATTTTCTTTGGTTTCTTTTAGGTGACTTTCTTGATTTTAATGATTTTGATGATTTTGAATGATTTTCTTTGATTTCTTTCTATGTTTGGGTTCGATTTTATGTTCATTTTTCGTTTCTATGTTCATTTTTCATGAAGATAATGATTGATGTCCTTTCAATTGGATCTCTATCTAAAAATAGATAAACTTTAAAAATGAAAAGTGGAACTTTATAGTTTTGAATCGAATTTTGAAGTGTTTTAGTGATTTTGTGTGATTTCTGTAATAGATTAAGGCTTGAAAATGTACTCGAAAGAATTAAAAAAAAAAACATTTGCAAAAGCAATAAAAAAAGAAATTGCTAAAGAAAATGAACGAATCATAAAGAAAATGAAGAAATGATCAGAGAAATTGCTAAAAAAAAGTAGAAGTTAAAAGCCTAGAAGAGAAAAGAGCGGTAAAATGCAAAAAATCTACTTTGTGCTCAAATGTAAACGGCTTTCTAGCGCATTGATTCCGTTAAAAGCGGACATTTCAGGTGCTCCAGAATCGATGCGTTCACTTTTGAGCACTTTCTAATGTACTTTGTGCAAACACACTCTTTCTAGTGCACTGAATTTTTCATTTATATAAGCAGAAAGAAAATGAGGAACTCAGTGCGCTAGGAAGCAAGGGTTTACAGCACAAAGTACACCGAAAGGATCGGTTGTTCGATCTAGAAAAATAGTTGGAAGATCAAAAAACTAGTGCACAGCCGGGAGTCGAACCGGCGATCTGCCGCTTCCCAGTCGACTCTACTAACCATTACACCACAACGCCCTTGCTCTCCCGTACTTCAAAGGGAGTTAAGTATATCTCAACCATGAAAAATCTTGTTTAATATCGTAATTTTACCACTCAAAAAAAAGAGTACACTACTGGAAAATGAAATATGATATTTGAAAAACGATCGTCACTTTCGCGCGTCTATAACTCCCTTGTCTTTACCGTATTTCGAAATATTAATATTACCATTGTGTAGCCCTTGAAAAGAGCTTTCAGAAAATGTATAACACTAATAGTTTAAACGCAAAGACAAGGGGAGTTACAGACGCGCGAAAGTGACGATCGTTTTTCAAATATCATATTTCATATGTCCAAATACTGTCAGTTAGAATCCATTTTTGTTTTCTACTTTCTAGCGCATTGATTCCGTTAAAAGCGGACATTTCAAGGGCTGACAGAATACTGTTTAGTACAGAATACTGTTTAGTACAGAATACTGTTTAGTATTCTGTATCGGTTTAGTATTCTGTATTAGTCACAGATTTAATGTAAAATTTCGAAATTACTGTAATTTCCGTAAAAGAACACGTCTGACGTGTAAACAGATGAAAGAAAAAAAGACAAAAGTATATCGAGAAAAAACTAGAATGAAAGCTGAATAGTTATAATATTTTAAAAAAAAGAAATACCGGAAATCGCTTAAGCTTAAGCGATCTAGGAAAGCAAAGAAACAACTCTTTTACCGTAATCTAGACAAGAAATATTTAAGAAGATCAACTCGTGAAGCGTTTACGGAGAAATTAAACAAACAATGAAAAAAAAGGCGCTCAAGGAACACAACGTATAAGCAGATCACACTGAATTGTAGAAAACATTGAGAAATTTGGGGAAAATGATTCGATTTAGACTAGGAGATGATGCGAATTTCTCTTGTATTTCCTTAAAGAGTCGACTGCTCGACGGTTGGGCTCATTCGGGGTGAGTCGGGAGCTGAAAATTTCATGGATTTCATTTCAAATGAGCTTTTTATTAGCTAAATTTGTGTTAGAGATCGCGAATAAGTTGACAAGGGAAGGACAACTGTCTGAGCTGGCCAAATGCTATGCTATCTATACCATTTGACACAGAATTTTATGCTGATTCCGAATATATATTCCGTTTTTGGTAAATGACAATCTGTCAGGAGTTATAAGCGTTTAAAGCTTTGTTAGGACTCGGAAAATGTGGTAATTTGGGTCTTAGAGACCTCCTTGCGGATTTCGGCACGGCCGTGGTCCAATGGTTTGTTTCCAGAGGGAGACCTCACAAGTTCGATCCTAGCTTTGAATTTTCCTTTTGCTTTTTTTTGAAGTGCTGACTAGTGTTCATTGTGCCCACACAATCGCTTTCCATCTGGCACATCGCTTTCCATAAAGCAATAAGATAATGTTGATCAATCACCATCAAAACTTCTCAAAAGAAAAAATGAAAAATTGGAAGTGGGGATTGAACTTGCGAGGTCTCGCTCTTGAAATGAACGCCGAACCACTCGGCCATGGCTGCACGGATTTGGATCTGCAAGGAAGTGGCTAAGACCCGCATTATCCAGACAGATTGTCATTTAGCAAAAACAGAAGATATACGGAATCAGCATAAAATTCTGCGTCGAATGGTATAGATCGCATAGCATTTGGCCAGCTCAGCCAGTTGTCCACAACTGGCTCAGCCAGCTCAGCCAGTTGTCCTTCCCTTGCGAATATGATAGATTTCTCTTTTCCAATCTGTTTTCGATTCTTTGCCACTTTCAAAACAAGATTTAAACCTCTACAGTTTCCCATCAAACTTTGAGTTCAAATTTCTTGGTGTTGAGCTATTGAATTGAAATCATCTTGATATTATTGGATTTGCTAAGTCTTCTCTGTTAATTGATATAAAAATTATTTAAATTGAATAGCCCAAGAAGAAGATATTTGAGTTTAAAGTTGGATTTTCAATGGAAAAAGCTAATGTCAATGGGAAATGCTCAACAATCATCTTTTACCTGGCGCATTTTCGCTTCCTGGTGTCTTTGATCCAGCATGAATGAGCCTTGTGTGCACCTCGCTCTGCTATGAACAAGATTGTTGATTGTTTTTGACTGTTTGTCTACAATATCTTCAGCAATTTACCTCATGATGGCTATAATAATGTCCATTATCATCAGAGTGTTCCGAGTGAACGATTTTCTTGTGCACTTGAGCCCCATTCTCATCCTCGTAATCGTGCTCGAACACCTAGAAAATGTGCTTTGTGATCAAGAAATGTAAACAAAACCTTTCTAGCATACTAAACTCATTTATTTTCAAAAGCTAAGACTTCTTCTTCTAATAGCTTCTTCTAATAGCTTCTTCTTCTAATATCTTCTTCTTCTAATAGCTTCTTCTTCTAATAACATCTTCTGTTAAACTCAAGCCAACATCTTTACTTGTTTATTATTAGATTATCGTTTATGCTACTCTACCTGTGTCCCATCAGGATATTGTTTATGCGTTTCATTCTCATTATTCCCATTTTCATCACTTGACCCTTCAATCTCCTCAGCATGTGTCTCAAGGTGGTCCTGAAAAGATAACTTGAAATAGAATGATTCAATTGATCTCGTTTCTCACTTGATCTCCAATCGGTCCTTCTTCCTCTTTCTCCTCGTTCTCTTGGTGTATAATCATGCTATCAGTAGACAGATTGTCTTCTGATCCAACTCCTCTCTCACTTGCTGCTGTCTCAAGAATCTCAGGCACTCCTAATCCAATTCCGTGTCCAACATTGTGATGACTGTGATAACTTTCCTCATCGTTTCCCTAAAATACTTTATAAACTTCAGTTTTTCAGAAAGCTTTCGATAAACTTTAAAAATACTTGAGAAAAAGTGGCTTTAGACTTATTTCTGAATCTCCTAGGCAAAGAATAACTAAGCTCTATCCTACCTGACTCATCGGACTTATGTGTTCCTCTCGAATCTCATGCTGATCATTCAAATGATGGTGATCGTGATTATCCTCTTCGTGTCTTTCATAATCGATTTCCATTGGTGATTTCCTAACATCATCAATCATTGGCTGATGATCATGATGTTGCTCAAATCCAGAGCTTCTTCTGTCAGGCGAGTTTGGTGTCAATGGAGACGCTGGTTTCATATGATCGCCGATATCTTCTTGTAGTTGATGAGTGCCGTGTTCTTGAGATTCCTCATTGAAAGCCACTTCTGGTTCCACTTCTAAATGTGGTTGCTCAACAGGGGAATAAGAGTGACTCTCAACGATCGATTCGTTGATCGGATCCTCTTGATGATGCAAGTTTACATGTTCATCTTCGTGGTGATGGATCGGTTCTTCATCATGATGTTCTTGATGGATCGGTTCCTCATCATGATGTTCTTGATGGATTGGTTCCTCCTCGTGAACTGGGGATCCAGCTGGTTCATCTTGATAAAATTGAGCGTTCTCTGAGCTTGCCGGTCTTTCTTCATAATGATGTTCGATTGGAGATCTAGCGACAGGAGATTCATGTTCTTCATGATGATCATGTACTGGCGACTCTCTTTCTTCATTGTATTCATGATGGACTGGAGATTCTCTTCGTTCATGTTCATGATGATCATCAATGACATCTGGAATTGGATGCTCGGGTTCCCTTTCTTCCATCCCATGAACAGGAATATCATCATGATCAACGTGATGCTCGTGAACGGAATTGATCATGTCATGGTGATGCTCTTCTTCATGGTGATGCTCCGGTGATCTAGCCACAGGGGAATAATGTTGAACCTGGAACTCTTCTTCTTCTTGTTCCCTTGATTTATGCTCTTCATAATGTTCATGATGATCATGTTCAATCGGTGACTCTCGTTGATGCTCGGGTGATCGGGGTACCTCATGGTGAGCTTCAAAAGCCTCTTCAAGTCCATGACCAACAGGAGATCGGGTAGGAGAGTGGTGTTGATCAAAGTGTTCTTCTGCTGGAGAATGATGACCCGATTGCTCTGGGGATTCTCGTTCATAGTGCTCAGGAGACCTAGCAATCTCATGATGTGTCTCAAAGGCTTCGTGAGCGCTCGGCGATCGGGCAGGAGACTCATGGAAATGTTCATGAGATTCATGCTCGATAGGAGATTGAGGTACATCATGGTGTTCACTTTCCACTGGAGATCGTGGTTGTTGTAACTCAAAGGCTTCGTGCTCAGCCGGTCTTTCTTCAATTTCATCGGGAGATCGTAGCACTTCATGATGAGATTCAAAAGCTTCATGATGTTGCTCGTGCTCAACCGGTGATCTTCTTTCACTCTCAACGGGAGACCTAGGTACTTCATGATGATGTTGAACTAGGGATTCACGAGATCTAGACACATGATCTTGTTGTTCAACCGGTGATCTCCTTTCACTCTCAACCGGTGAACGTGGCACTTCATGATGAGCTTCAAAAGCTTGAGGAGACTCTCGTTCTTGTACTGGAGATTCAGCTGAATGATGTTCAATCGGGGATCTCCTTTCACTCTCAACTGGTGAACGTGGCACTTCATGATGAGCTTCAAAAGCTTGATCTTGTACTGGAGATTCAGCTGAATGATGTTCAATCGGGGATCTCCTTTCACTCTCAACGGGAGATCTAGGTACTTCATGATGATGTTGAACTGGTGATTCATGTTCGACAGGAGACCTAGATGCCTGGTGTGCTTCAAAGGCATCATGGTGTTGAACTGAGGATTCACGAGATCTATGCATATGATCTTGATGTTCAACTGGTGAACGTGGTACTTCTTGATCTTGTACCGGAGATCCAGGTGAATGACGTTCAATCGGTGATTCCCTGTGTTCTGGAGATCGAGCCAACTCGTGATGAGCTTCAAATTCCTCTGGCACGTGCTCTTGTTCTTGATTTTCTTGCGGATAATCCTCCTCATTCAGCACTCGTTTATGCACACTATGATGTTCTTCATCGTGTGGTTCTCCTTCAGCTTCCCTTTCATCATAATGATGTTCCTCAATGTGATGAACGGGAGAAGCAACAGGAGAAGCAACAGGAGTCGGTGATTTGTCAGTTCCTTCAGGCTGAACTGCATGTCTAACCACTGCCTCTTCATCATCATAACGTTCATGAACTCTTTCCACAATCTGAGGAGATCTCGGTGTCTCAACATCTTCTTCAGTTTCCATCGCTTCTGGTGTTCTTTCCCTGTTGATCGTCGATCATCTGTTTCATCAGCTCCACCCGTTTCACTAGTTCCATTTGTCGCATTACTCTCTGGTCGAACTGTGTACCCATTGTCATAGAAAGCACAGTGCTCGTCCTCCGTCGTTGGCTCTAAAATTTCACATCTTTATAAGAACAGCATTTATTTCAATGATGAATACTAGAAATCTTTCTCACCTTCACTATGCTCAGATTCAGCAGTCACTGGTGAAGCAAGAGGAGCTCCAGAAAGAGACTCAAGTTTCGGTTTAGGCTCTGATTTCCTTGTGAGAGCCGCAGCCGATGCCACTCCAATCCCCACTCCGATCGCTTCAAGTGCTGGCAACTTTTCTCTCTTTATTGTCTTTGTATTAGAAGAAGAACGAGCTTTTGTCGAAGGTTTAGGTGCAGATCTAGAATTGAATTTGATTAGAGAAATAATTGGGGTTATGACCTTGGTTGAGCAGGCGGGAGTTTCAAAGGTTTTGCCGAGGTTTTCGCGGTTGGAGCAGCAGCAGCCGACTTCGAAACATGTTTTCTCTAGAAATTCGTGATCAAAATCGACTTACTTCTCAATATTTATCAATAAAAAGTTAGAAAATTAGCTTTCCTTTAATTTTTGTCATTACCTAAAAGCCTATTCTTTGGAAGAAAGTGATGAATTTGTTTGCCACAAGTCGGTTAATGTTTTAAGAACTTTTAATAACTAGTGGACTAGTTAATGAACCTTCTTTGTTTAGTATTTTCAAGAACTCAATGACTGACTAGGGTTTTAGCTCCTTTTAGACTAGTTTTTCATATCATTAAGTAAAGCTAGTGATGTTTTCTGGCTCAGGCTTAGGCTTAGGCTTAGGCTTAGGCTCAGGCTTAGGCTTAGGCTTAGGCTTAGGCTTAGGCTTAGGCTTAGGCTTAGGCTTAGGCTTAGGCTTAGGTTTCAGGCTTAGGCTTAGGCTTAGGCTTAGGCTTAGGCTTAGGTAAACGATAAACGCGATAAACGATTCGAAATCTCACCTGAATCGGTGGCAATCTCGGATTCGCGCTATTCGACGTTCTTCTTTGTCTGACTGTTGGTGGACACGAGTCATTTGCTTGTCTTCTCGGCGATGCATTCGCTTTTCTTCCCCTCAACGAGTTCACCGATCTGCAATCAGCACTACTTTTAGAATTCCCCTAGAAATCATGAAGCTCGAAGCCCGAAACGGCTTTAAAAACATCAAAAAGCACACCGCTGCACACCCAGCAAGCTGCATTTTGAGCTTAAAAGCTTTTGAGCTGATTTACATAAAATAGTTAAATAAATTAATTTAAATCTAGAATAGTTTAATAATATAGTTTTCTTTATAAACAGCCTTACCTTACACGACCGCACGCGGAAAGGAAAGCGCAAGAAAAATGGAAAAAAAAAAGCTGGAGAAGAAACGGCAAGATATTTGAAAAAATAACAACAAGAAGGGGTCGATTCGAGTAACGATTGGAAATTTATCGATTACTCTACTATAGCAATATAGAAATGTCGATCATTTACTTTGAAAAAGTCCTTTGGAATCTGGAAATCTGCAATTATCTGGGAGATTCTGTGAATTGTCGATTTTAGATTATGAAATCATTTAAACTGTAGCTTTTTCATCGACCGATTACTAGATAAAGCTTAAAGTTTGTTTCCCAAATAATAGCCAAAACAATTTCTCTATTTAATTTCAAAACTAAACCCTATATGCTCTAATCTAACTTTGACAGCTCATTGTGAACTATTGAACAGATCAGCTAATAGATAAGCTAGATTTCGACAGAATAGTCAAAGAATTCATGTACTATTATCATTCTAGAATATCTAAGCATTGATTTGCGGTTAGTGTCATAAGTTAAAGTTCTAATCTTAAAGAATTCAAGTATTATTATCATTCTAGAATATCTTAGCGTTGATTTACGATGAATGGCATAAGTTAAAGCTCCAATCTTAAAGAATTCAAGTACTATTATCATTCTAGAATTACTTAGCATTGATTTGCGGTTAGTGTCATAAGTTAAAGTTCTAATCTTAAAGAATTCAAGTATTATTATCATTCTAGAATTACTTAGCATTGATTTACGGCGAGTGTCATAAGTTAAAGTTCCAATCTTAAAGAATTCATGTACTATTATCATTCTAGAATATCTTAGCGTTGATTTACGATGAATGGCATAAGTTAAAGCTCCAATCTTAAAGAATTCAAGTATTATTATCATTCTAGAATTACTTAGCATTGATTTACGGCGAGTGTCATAAGTTAAAGTTCCAATCTTAAAGAATCCATGTACTATTATCATTCTAGAATATCTTAGCGTTGATTTACGGTGACTATCATAAGTTAAAGTTCCAATCTTTACCCAAAATATTGGAAAGAAATCACAACGAGAAGTGAAAAAGTGCATTTGTTTTAGAAATCCATCAATCACTTTGGGTTCTCATTTTTGTGTAGACACACTCTAAAGCTTTGAAGAAGCACCGAATCAGTGCCACCACACGACATAACATGCTATCTAAAGTTTGAAAAAAAAAGAAAGAAAAGATAAGATTGAAGCTTATCAAGTTGAACATTTTAGCTGTCAAATATCGTACTTTAATATAGAATTTAAATGGATACTTTGAAAGTGAAATCTAGCCACTGGTACTATGTAAAACTATTGTAAAACTATGTAAAAAGTATAGGTGAACTAATCGTAAAGTTCTGTAAAGTTGTGTTCTTCACAAGTCTAGTACTTTAAATTTAATTACTTTTCACTTACTTTTTGCTTACACCACATTTTTCACTAAATTCATGTTTCAGATCCGATCTTAAACCTAGATGCATTCTAGATTTATTCTAGATCTAGAATAGATCGATTTTAAAGCTAGAATAGATCAAAGAGAATATTCTAGATCAATTCTAGATCGACTCTAGATCTAGAATAGATCGATTCTAGATCAATTCTAGATCTATTCTAGATCTATTCTAGATCTATTCTAGATCTATTCTAGATCTATTCTAGATCAATTCTAGATCAATTCTAGATCTATTCTAGATCTATTCTAGATCAATTCTAGATCAATTCTAGATCTATTCTAGATCAATTCTAGATCAATTCTAGATCTATTCTAGATCAATTCTAGATCTATTCTAGATCAATTCTAGATCTATTCTAGATCTATTCTAGATCTATTCTAGATCTATTCTAGATCTATTCTAGATCAATTCTAGATCAATTCTAGATCTATTCTAGATCTATTCTAGATCAATTCTAGATCAATTCTAGATCTATTCTAGATCAATTCTAGATCAATTCTAGATCTATTCTAGATCAATTCTAGATCTATTCTAGATCAATTCTAGATCTATTCTAGATCTATTCTAGATCAATTCTAGATCTATTCTAGATCAATTCTAGATCTATTCTAGATCTATTCTAGATCTATTCTAGATCTATTCTAGATCAATTCTAGATCTATTCTAGATCAATTCTAGATCTATTCTAGATCTATTCTAGATCAATTCTAGATCTATTCTAGATCAATTCTAGATCTATTCTAGATCTATTCTAGATCTATTCTAGATCAATTCTAGATCTATTCTAGATCAATTCTAGATCTATTCTAGATCTATTCTAGATCTATTCTAGATCTATTCTAGATCAATTCTAGATCAATTCTAGATCAATTCTAGACCTGTTCAATCTATTCTAAATCTATTCTAGATCGAATAGAATATTCTAGATCAATTCTAAATCTATTCTAGACCTTTAGAGGAATGAAAGAAGCAGGGAAAGAGAAAAGAAGAAAGGATTTGAGGGGAGTGAGTCTACCTGAGCGGTTCGTGTAAGGCAGCTGTGGGAAGAGATTGTGTGAGTGATGGAAGAGACCTTCTACGAAAGAACCATGATTGAGCTGAGGATGGAGGATGACGAGCGACTGAATGAACACCGAATGAGACTTCGCGGAAACGCTCGAGACGATCCAGCTCGCGTTTCAACTGCTCCTGATAGTCGACCAGAGTCTTGTCATCAAGCTGAAAGGGGTATTGTTACATAAATCTATACATGAATAAAGTATTCATCTGAATAGTTTAAAGATCCGTTCCAATTTTACTTTTAAACTCACTTTATGCAAATAACGATATTTAGATGCTTTTGCTGAGAGTCTAGCATATGGATCCTTTTCATTTATCTTCTCCGGTTCATCTTTTGTCTCAATTTTTTGTATGAGTTCTTTATCATCTAAACTATTTGAAAATCGTCGTTGTCTTGATCCAGAGTTCTCTCGTGGTCGACCTAAACATTAAAAATTCAATTTAAAACCAATCTTTCGTCTGTCTTGTTTGACTCAATGAATCAAAAAAAAAGCTAGCTATAGTATTTTGAGGTTAAATCAACCTCTTGACAGACTCCTCGATGCTTTCGTTCTTCGGAAAGACTCCGGGCTTTGTCCACTCTAAAATACTTCTAAAATTTTCGATCTCCGTATTCCCTTTTTACTCGAATCCTTCTGTAGATCTCAACTTTCTCCGCTGCGTCCAATTTCTTTTGCAATTCAGCCAACTTCAACAATTGTTGTTCTCTAAAGAAAGCTAGTAAAGGACTCAAGACTTTAAAAAAACCTATTCTTAAGCATCATATCCATCATCATATTGTGACGAGCATAAACAGCATCTTGTCCATCACGCATTTTTCCGTTTGAATCAATCTGAAATGATTGAAATGATGTGATTTGACTTTTATAACTTTATTAGTTTAATTTATTGTTTGTAATTTAGTGAATCTATTTGAAAAGATTAAGAGAAATGTGGTTTTGATAAGCGGTTCTCAAGATTTCGAGGAATTTAGGCGACGCTCAGGGTGCACTACTATTAGAGAGAATACGGTATATAATTTCTATTTAACTCTCTCTAATAGTAGTGCTCTTTGGCGAGCCGAGTTGATGACTATTTTACGGTTTCGAAACTTTCCCAGAAGCTCAACACTCAAATCCCCCACTAGATCTCATCATCAGCTACATTTTCCGACCCCACATCGATAGGTTCTGATAAGCGGTTTGCGAGATTTCGAGGAATTTAGGCGACGCTCAGGGTGCACTACGATTTTCTCTAATAGTAGTGCACCCCGCCGAGCCGAGTTAGTGACTATTCTCCGGTTTCCAAAGCTTTCCCAGAAGCTCAACACTCAAATCCCCCACTAGATCTCATCATCAGCTACATTTTCCGACCCCACATCGATAGGTTCTGATAAGCGGTTCTCGAGATTTCGAGGAATTTAGACGACGCTCAGGGTTCTCACTACTATTAGAGAAAATCTGATAAGTGTCGTCGGCTATTCACAGTGTGCCAAATGCTATTTTTTTATTCTTTTTCTTTAAAAGCTCTTAAATAAAGAAAAATCAAAAAAAAAGAAGTGTCTATTTTCTTATTTTAAAACTGGAAACCCTCCGGTGTAAAGAGTTCCGTTTGAATGATTCTGAAATGATTGAAATGATGTGATTAAAAATGTTTATGGCTTTAGTTAGACTTTCATAAGTTTATTAGTTTCATTTATTGTTTGTAATTTAGTGAAAATCTATTTGAAAAGATTAAAAATAAATGTGGGCTTTTAGAAGCAAAAACTATAGCAAAACTACTGCACAGAAAACTACTGCACTTTTGATTTTCAAAAAGCGTTGAATTCTGGGTTCTAAAAAGCAAAAGCTGTTTGTTGGCTTCATTGTTCATCCATTTATATTGATAACTATTGATCAATTAATATTTTTACGTTCATTGATAGCTTTATTGGTTTATTATAGATTCACTTTAATCTTTTCTATGCATCCTTTCTGATTCATCGATGAGAACACTGGATTTCTTTTCTCTAAAACAAAATGACGTCTAAAAAGACATAACGAAATGGATGGTTTATCCGTTTTCTCTTCCCAAAACAAAAAAAAAAAAACAATAGAATTCGGGATCAATTTGGGGATTTTTCTTCTAAAAAAAAAAAGAAAAAGAGAAAACTCGTTCCCCAATTTCCCATAATTGAAATGGATTAGGTGACACTTGACTGCTTTGTTTACCATGAAATTTATCGGATTTTTGAGAAAATTTAGAGAAATAATCTATGCTTATAAGATTGCTTTAATTTGACACTGTGGTGACACTTTAATTTCTTAAATTCAAATAGATATCTAAAGCCTATTGTTATGGATTAGGTGACACTTCACTGCTTTGTTTACCATGAAATTTATCAGATTTTAAGAAAATTGAGAGAAATAACCTATGCTTATAACATTTATAAAGCTTGCATTGTGGTACTCTTTAATTTCTTGAATTCAAATAGATATAGATGATGGATTCAAATAGATTCAAATAGATGGTTATTTAAAAATCATGTTCCTGGACTAGATCTAGATCCTGGATCTGGCTTCTGACAGTCCAGAGACTTAAAGATCTTGACCAGAGGTCTTACTTCTGATCTTCTGCTCTGGTTTGTTTCAAAGAGCTCTTAGACTGGCTTTGACTGATCAGCTTATAGTTATAGATTCACGTGAAAGGACTCTGGCTCAATTGGATAACAGTAAAAAGCTCTTTTAATAGTAATAGCTGAACACTTTCATGTAATTAACAGTAATAGCTGAACACTTTCATGCATGAAAGTGTTCTTTCTGCTGTAAAAGCTGAAGACTTTCATCAGCTGAACATTAGATTTTCATTAGATCTTCATTAGATCATCAATTCATACAATTCTTATTATTAAACTTAATCTATCAATTATTTTGTGTCAATCAACTTTTCTCTTTTTGAAAAACAGAGCTATTAGCAATTGATTTCTCTTTTTTTTCAGAGATACAGCGAGTTGTTCAACTTTTTTGTTTATAAAAATAAGTTTAGCAAAAGATGGTGCACTAGAAAGATGTATTTACTTGATTTTGAGTAAAAAGTACAATACAATTTGAGTTTTAAAAATGCTTTAAAGATAGACTACCCTAAATACTGTAATAGTACCCTACCCCCCTCGTACAGTCGCGTAGTCGCAAAAGTTTTTTAGTATTTCATTTTTTTCAAAGCATCCGTACTTTCAAAAAATGTGTCTTTGGTATCAAAAAATAGCCCTGAATTTCAGCTATTTTTTGATACCTAAACGCGCATTGTAGCATAAACCAGTGTCGAGAAAAACTCGTTCAAAGCTAGACTACGCAACACTCCGCACCATCATTATCTTGGTACAAAAATAGCCCTAATTCAGCAAGATCCTAAACGCGCATTGTAGCATAAACCAGTGTTGAGAAAAACTCGTTCAAAGCTAGACTACGCAACACTCCGCACCGTCATTATAGGGGTGGGGTGCTATTACAGTATTTACGGTAGATTTTCATTCGATTTTACAAAAATCTTTTTTCTACTCACCAATCCCATTCGGCGTAGATGTTTTTGCATGTGTGGTAGGGCAAAGTATTGCCGGAGATGAACATCGTAAAGGGGATTGTAGTTCTCGAGAAGACTTTCCGCCATTGTTCTCCCCTCAAGGATTGAATGCACCTGTAAATTTCTACAGTACAAACGACTACAGAGTAGACATGGAAATTAAGGAGAAAAAGGAGATTGAAACATTTAAGATTGTTTAAAAGACGATTAAAGAAGTTAGGAGTAAGTGGATTGGATACAAAATCAAGTAAAAGAATAGTCAAAGTTAGAGTCAAATCAAACAGATCTCAAAAAAAAAAACTTGCAAAAGTTAAAATGGTCGTAAAGCCATGAAATCTGGGAAAGTGGAAAACTTTGTCTGTATTTGCGGTACAGTTAATTAGCTGATGAAAGAGGAATGGGATTTTGGATGGAGAGGAAAGGAAAGGAGACGTTCCGACAATGGAAAGAAGAAGAGGAAAGGGTCGGTCCTTGGCAACGGGAGAGGGGATGGAGACGGGATTGTGTGGGGATTCGAACGGAGAATGGCACAGATCCGATAGTGATCAGTCGTCGGTTTATATAGCTATATGTAGACAGAAAAGTATTGCTGACATAATCTAGAAAGAGACATGACAACATTAGAAGTTGAGGCACCGATAGTTGGAATGGAATTGGGAAGTTGGAATGGAGCAGATCTGAGTGAGCTGTTTGGTGGACTTTGGGAAGTGGGGGATTGGGAAGTTGGGGATTGGGAAGTTGGGGATTGGGAAGTTGGGGATTGGGAAGTTGGGAATTGGGAAGTTTGAATGGAACAGTTCTGAGTGAGTTGTTTGGTGGACTTTGGGAAGTTTGAATGAAACAGTTCTGAGTCAGCTGTTTGGTGGACTTTGGGAAGTTGGAGATTGGGAAGTTTGAATGGAACAGATCTGAGTGAGCTGTTTGGCGGACTTTTCACTAGACACAATGATATTTAGAATATGAATAACGGATTAGAAGTGACTCACTTGTCATAGTTATTTCAGATATCAGTGTTAGAGTAATCAAGTAAATATCTAACTTCACTAATAGTACTGTCAGTGTACTCAATGTATCAAAAAGAGTGGTAACCAAGTCTTCTACACTTCCTGGATCTGTTTTGAATACACTTCCTTGAAAAGAAGCTCTATAAAAGTCTTGTAGTAGTCGATAAATCCTCTCGAATGACGAGTGAAGAAAAACGACACGTTTTAGGTGTTTCTTCTCTTTTTCCCCTTCATTCAAGGACTTTGGGGAGTCTTTTGTAAAAGAAAGTTGTGTACAGAATAGAGGAAAAAAGAAGGAGAAGAGAAGGCTCGAGGCGACTATTGAAAAACTTTTGAAATAGTCAAATTCGTCGAGAAAATCGAGGGTAAATACTGGGTATTATTGTATGAAAAGAAGAGAGAAATCGACTGAGTGAGTGGGGTTTGTTGTTGGTCGTACGAAGAGAATCCATTTCAACCAAACAAATCAATTTATACTCATGAGATTTACAAGTTTTTTTAGCAGTTGAATATAATTGGAAAGCTTTCTCAATACAAATTGAAGCAGAATCATCTGGGTTGTTAAACTTGAACTTGCTTGAAGGCTTGAACAGCTTGAAGCTTGAAGACTTGCAAGATTCAAGAACAGCTTGAAGGCTTGAACAGCTTGAAGCTTGAAGACTTGCAAGATTCAAGAACAGCTTGAAGGCTTGAACAGCTTGAATCTTGAAGACTTGCAAGATTCAAGAACAGCTTGAAGGCTTGAAAGATTCAAATCCGAATTAGAACTTTGATAAATCAGTTTTTCCACTATTCTATGAATCCTTTCAACTTGGTTTTAAAAGTTAGTAAATGATTTGGATCAGAAATTGTTTTTTTTAAAGAAAATCAAAGCCAAATCTATCTCCAATCTTTAAAAGATTCAATTAAATAAAAAAAAGGAAATTAATGAACAGATATACTTAATGAAAGCTTAGTTTTAAGTTAAAAAATAGGTAGTAGAGAATTTAGAGGTCATTCTGAGAAAGTGAGTCTAGATTTGGGTTTTATAAAAAGGAAAGAAAGTCTATGAGTATGAATGGTTGAAAAGAATTGGAAAGGGTGAAAAGGAGAGGAGAGTTGCACACGAAATACAGAAATTTGAGTAGAAAAAGGAGAGGGATAGAGTGAGAGAACAGAAGGTAGGCCCGGTGCACAAATAGGAGTTCTTTCAATAGTCGGCCTAGCTATTCACTGATTTCTGTCCCCGTGGGCAAATTGCTGACAGATTCGATGTGCAGAGAAACTTTGTTTTGTTTCATATTGCGTGCAATGAAGCAAATCTGCATTTAGAGATGAAGTTCGTTTCAATTGTATCAAGAAGAAAAGGAAATTGAATTGAATTGAATCTGATGTCCTTAACTTGGCCTAGCTTATTGCTTAGGCTTAGGCTTAGGCTTAGGCTCAGGCTTAGGCTCAGGCTTAGGCTCAGGCTTAGTGCGTAGGCTAGCGGCTAGCGGCTAACACTAAGTCTATTTGGGTTTGGGCTGAACCCCCATTTTTTGGAGCTCAGCCAGTTCTCGGATTAGGCTTAGGCTTAGGCTTAGGCTTATAAAAGGTCTCTAGGACAATTAGACGCAGGTAAGTTTCAAGGGAAAGCAAGTAAGTCCATGGAAGTTTTCTTTAGACTAACTCTGAACCATCTTCGTGAATTTGATGTTAATTCTCTATCTTAAAATAGTAAATAGGTAAATTGATGAAAAAAGAACTAACAAGTATTAATAAATAGGCAAATTAATCAAAAAAGAAACTAACAAGTATTGATCAATAGGCAAATTGCTGACAGATTCGATGTGCAGAGAAACTTTGCTTTGTTTCATATTGCGTGCAATGACAACAAATCTGCATTTGAAGATGAAGTTCGTTTCAATTGTATCAAGAAGAAAAGGAAATTGAATTGAATTGAATCTGATGGCTTAACTTGGCCTAGGAAACTTGCTTGCTTGCTTGCTGGCTAGGAAACTTGCTTAGAATCAATGCTAATCATTAGTAAAGTTGGTTTTAAATGATCGATTGAATGAGATGATCGATCTATGATCTATGATGATTTATGATGAACAATCGATCATTATTCTTTTAAATTTTAAATTATCAATGTGTTTTTTCATTTTTTTATACTATTATCTTACTAAATCAGATAGAGTTTTCAATAAAAAATCATTCTTTTAAAAAGATTTTGAGCTCAAGAGGATCAAAATATTGGGTTGGTGAATTGAAAACTGCTGGACTTTGAACTAAAATTTATTCAACATAAAACCATGAATTCATTTCAAATAATTTCCATTATTATTGACAACTTCTGCCCATTTTACAGGCAATTTGCGGATTCCTTTTTCTTCGTAGGACTTTGGTTTTGAATCGAAAAACTTTCAAAGCCAATTTTTGAATGCTTCTTCCGAATCGAAGTGTTCTCCCGCAAGCTCATTACTCATGATCCACAATAAATAGTAATCAAAAGGGGAGAGGTCCGGACTGTATGGAGAATGCGTCAAAAGTTCCCAAACAAGGCTATTTATAAACTTAAACTTAAACTAAACTACTTAAAGATCTGATATATTGGTGGTGAATTGAAAACTGCCGGACTTTGAACTAAAATTTATTCAACATAAAACCATAAATTCATTCGAAATAATTCCCATTATTATTGACGACTTCTGCCCATTTTACAGCCAATTTGTGGATTCCTCTTTCGTAGTAGGAGTTTGGCTTTTGTGTGAGACAAGCTTGAGACTCAAAAATCGAGAACTGGAGATGTCTCAATGTCCCAGTTTGAGCACTTTCTTCAAAAGAAACCCATTTTGGTGTCAATAGAAAAGTTGTAGAGAATCAAAAATTAGGCTTATAGCGAAATTTCCAAAAAGATACACTTAGTCGTTTCGCTTAAAATGCAAGTTTTGTGAAAATTCGTAAATTTCGCATTTCTTGAAAGCCAGTTTTTGAATCATTTTGAAAATTTGGATATAAGCTTGATTTTTGATTCTCTACAACTTTTCCATTGACACCAAAATGGGTTTCTTTTGAAGAAAGTGAGAAAGTGCTCAAACTGTCACATATGACAATAGCCGGCAGTTTTCAATTCACCAACCCAATAAAACTAAAGCTTCAGCAAAAATAGGAAATAGATAATTGTCTAATTGTTAGTGGTAAACTAGAAATAGAAATGGTGAATGATGGGCGAGTTCAAAAGGGATAAACGGGGGATTGACGAGGCGCTAATTGCCTCATCTCTTCTCTCTTTTCATTCATCGATCATTGTTTTCAACTTTCAAATGATGAACGTACATTTCAATGAGTGTTCAGAGAAATGAGTGGTCATTTAAACTATTCATACATGTTATAAAAATAAAATGTAAAAATGCAATTCAAGCATTAGAATGAGAAGGATTTAAAGTAAGAAATAGATCATCTAAGCTTTAAATCTTTGTAGTTTCAAATAAAATGAAAAATGCAATTCAAGCAGTAGAGTATGAAGGCTTTAAAGTAAGAAATAGATCCTCTAAGCTTTCAATCTTTACAAAGTTTCAAATAAAAGTTTAAACAAGAATCTGAGGCTATTGTATATCTTATTTTAGATTTTAGAATCAAAGATCAAATAAGGAAATGAGATTTAAAAGTTCATAAAATCTTCAGGGGTTTCCAGATCTAATTTGTCTATAAATTCACACATTCTATAAACAAAAAGCTTTTAAACGATAGAAATGTGATATACTTTTTGAAAGATTTGTAAATCCTTCTAAAGGACAAAATCTCACTATTAGAGTCAAAGATTTTATCTGAAATTCAAGATTTTAAACTCTAAACAAGAATTAAGTTATTAGACTATTTAGTAAGCTAGATTAAAACCTAAAAACACTTTAAAGTCTATAGCTTTCCGTAAAAAAAACTCGCCAACACTTAAGTGTCATGAGAAATGAGGCCAAGTAACTCTTTTCAATTCACTAGTTCTATAGAGGCCATAAGAAAAGAGAAACGCAATGAAAAAGAAGTGGGAATTGATTTTCCAGGCCATATTTCCTTTTTCCTCTTTTCCTTTTCACTGAATATTCACGCTCAACTGGAGAAGTG